AAATATACTTCCCCACCATCATTGCCAACACACAGAGGCTACTAAATTCAAAGCTTAAAAAGTATTGCATATGGCCTAAAGCTTATAAAGTATTGCATACGCATGTGCATGCGTATGTATTAATTATCCCCCACCCCAGTTATTTACATTTACACCATCAATGCCTTTCCTAATAATTGCTAAGTATAGGAAATGAGCACTGGCCTTGCTGCTCTTTCAGCCAGCTAATCATGAAGGGCTGGGAACTGCAATTACTTGATCAAACAGGAATAGCACATGTTGGTTGTTTATTTGCTGAGCTGCAAAAATCTCAAACCGAAAAAATAAACCTCCCCTCCCTTACAGCTCTGCTTATTGGACTATCAACCAATTTGCATCAAAGACAATTATAAAATTTGGTTTTCAAATGACTGAAAGATTCAAGCCTGCGACAGATTCCAAGTGATTCTGCTTGGATTTTGGGACTGCTCCTATAATCTGTTAATTATGTACAACTAGCAGTGCATTTTTAATGGAGACTTTTAAAAGGGATTGCATTAGAAGCAGCTCCATTCATTCCAAAAGATCTCTGATTTTATGGGTAGAGAATGGATTAAATCATTAAATCACTGCATGGGGTCACATGTTGAATTACGCTGGTCGCCTCTCTAGTCCCTTGGTCTTTATCCATTCCAGAAAGACGCTTGTGAATAAGGATGCTGGTTAGGAGGGCAGCGGTCCTTCAGACGGCAGGTTCCCAGCAGCGTAAAGGTATCAAGCAAATATAAACCCTCAGCTGTGCAAACAGCATGCCTGCATAGGAGCTGCTCCAAATGCTGGATTATTTTAGGAAGCAAAACCAAATTCTCTCCCATGCAATTTAAAATGATACTTTTTTTTTTTTTTTAATAAAAAAGATCGATTCCACCCTTAATAGAGGCAGATTTAAGRTGAGCCATGCAGCAGCAGCGCAGCTCTACCCAGGGCTGTGCCATTCCAAGGGGCATCCTCAGGGCTGCCAGCTCCCCTGCCACGTTTTCTCCCCTGCAGGAGAGGGGCCGCCTTTGCTCAAAGACACGTTTCTAGCATTAAAAACCAGCAGTAACGCACAGCAAGCGAAGCGGGCTCGCGGGACGAGCGGAGGCCCTGAAATGGCTGCCCAAACCCCGGCGCGGCCCGGGTGCCCGGCACCTCACGTCCTCGGCTTGGACACGCGCAGGCCTCCGGGGAAGGGGGCGGCGATGCCGGGGGGGAATCACGCACCGGGAAGGGCGCCGTTCGCCCTTGGTGGGGAGGAAAAAAAAGGAGAAAAAAGGCCAAAATGGGTCTGTGGTTGATAGCGGAGCAAAACTGTCCCTCGTGTAAACAGCTCTGAATAGGGCAATTTGGCGATACCGGGACCCGGGGTGCCAACCAGCCCCACTAAAGGGATGGGGGTCTGGGAGCCGCAGCACCACGGGACACCACCCTYGTGCTGCGGGGCTGCTGTCTGAAATGTGCCCACGGGCTTAGGGAAAAGGCAAAAATCGGGGGAAAAAAAAAAAGAGTGCTTTGGCACAGCTGCCGCTTGCTTTTATGGTGGGATTTATGGTGGGATCAGGTTCCACTGAACCTGGTGCTTGGCGAACCCCTTTTGTGCCTCCTCTTGCTGGGCTTCCCTGGTTGAATGGAAATCAGCAAAACRCCAGCTGCTCCCCTGCCTCCAGCAAACACCCCCTTTCTTCTTTTACCCCATAAAACGCTGCCCCCTCTGTGAAAGGAAGCGAAAARAGAAAAACGGGGGAAGAGGAGAAAACAGCAACGGGCATTGGTTCCACTGGGGCTCGAACCCAGGACCTTCTGCGTGTAAAGCAGACGTGATAACCACTACACTATGGAACCGCCACGCGAGCAGCTCCCCGCGCCGCTCCTCTCTGCGCGCGCCGCGCGCTCCCTCCTCCACGGCCCCGCCCACGCGGCACGCGCCGACCGTTGGGGGGGGCGGGGGAGCGCGCGAGGAGCCGTTGGGCGCGCGGGCAGCGCCGCAGGGAGGGCGAGGCCTGTTTTATTTGTTACTATATGTTTGTTGCTTTCCAAAAACTACTGGTCGATTAAAAAGTGGTCATTAAAACTTTACCACCCCGCTTCCCCCTTGTATTTTTTGTGGCGCTCGGCTTGCGGAGGAGGAGTGCGGGGCGCTGGGTCACTGCCGCCGCGCCTGCGCGGTGCCGCGCGTGGCGGCAGCTGCCCTGCTGCGCAGCCGGCAGGGGGCGCCGCCGCCGCGCCGCGCCGCCCCGTGCCCCGCGCGCGCTCTGCCCTCGGCGCCGCCCGCGCTCGGTGGAAACACTTTTCTGATCATTTCCCACCATGTGTGTGATGGCTCCAGTAGTTCATAGTCCTTTAAAAAAAGCAGACGTAATTCCTTTGAGATACTGATCCTGAGCGCTGTAGGTAGTGGTTGTCTCTAGGCTCCAGCTGGAGGAGGGCACATTGTGCCACCAGGCACTGCTGTCCACAGCAATCTGCAACCGGACGATAATTTGGGATATATATATATTTTTAAATCTCATTTCAGAGAAGGTACCTGGATGCGTTCATGGTGTTCTGGTCTAGCTTCTTGACCTGCAGTGGATTCAAGGCCCTACAGCTGCCTTTTCTTTCTTTCTTTCTTTTTTTTTTTTTTTTCCCCCCACGTTTCTGATTTTCTGTTCCCTTTTCCAAGGATGTCAGTTTTGAAGTCTATTTATTTATCATCTCACCCAGAATTGTCCATTTTGGGGGGAGAAATTTCCTGCCCATCCAAGTTAACCTTCTCATTGAGATTTGTGATAACGTGTTTCTGACCTCTCACTGACTGAGACGGAGTTTAATAAGGAAGTAAAAAAAAAAAAAAAAATCAGGTAAAAATGTGCCGTTTATTACCCTTCTTCTCTTTTTTAATTCTTCTTATTCTTTGTGTTTGGGAAGGTCTGTCAATCAGGGATTTGGCCTCTGGCTCTAAAATACCTTGTTGGCTCATACAAAAGTAGCTTCCTGAGCGCAGGTAGCCTACGAGGAGAGGAACCATGGTCCGAGTGCAGAAGCAGCACACTCGTGTTGACTATGATCTTCAGTCTTCTTGGTGGGGGGAAAAAAACACAAGAAAAGCAGAAGCAGCAGTTGCATCCCCTTGCGGGGCGGCTCTCGGAAGTGATCCCGAAGCAGAGCCTGAATTATGTATGGGGAGRCCAGCATGGAGGCTCGCTCGGAGCTTAGTGTTTCCAGAGCATTCCAGGCAGCGGGCGCATCGCCTTGGCTGCACGAGGGGTGCCCGGAGAGGCCGCTCCCATGTAGTGGAACTGGCGGCTGGTTTCTGCGGTGCCGCCGGCGCGGGGCAAACGTCTCCTGGGCATCCCAAGCRCAAACGGTTGTAGGGCGTGTGGCCTCCTGCTGGGGCTGCTGTTTTCTTTGCCCTATGTAGACAGGAGGGGGTTTATTTTTGTTCTGTTTTTTGTTTTTTKTTTTTTTTTTTCAGGTGCAGCCCTTGTCCTTGGGCTCAGGTAGGAAAGGTTAATTTGGAAAGCACCTTTGCTGGTGTGTCCTCAAGTTGCATGTTACTGTGATCCCTGTGCGTAACTGGAGAGGTGGCTCCGTCCGGCACACTGACTCTGGCACACTGCTTGGTTGCATCGGGCCCCCAAGACAGAGGTTAAACGGCTTTTATGAATATCAGGAGAAAACATGTGGTGTAAATCTGCATCCCACAGCACCGACGGGCTCCGGGTTTGGCCCCTGCCCTGTTCAGCTTAAGTGATTCTGATGGATTCCTGGCAGCTGGAACAGACCGTATAGCATCTCATTAGGCAGAAGGCTTGGTAAATGCCAGTGCAGGTGAGTTTAGCAGATACAGTAAATGTTTTGCATATATCTTCCGGAAAAAGGTTATGATGCAATTTTTGCTGGCTGAGTAGCATGATCATACATAAGTGATTAGCTACTGTAACTCTGACTGGGAAAGGTGCATCCTAACAGAGAAACGAGCATTAAAACTCTTCTGGGTCATGCACAATTATCATCCCTCATATGTATTTTATTTACTACCTGTTTCCACAGAAAAGGAAGAGCCTTGAAAAGGTGTCTGTAATTTCAGAGCCTCCAGGAGCCGCCCCAGTCAGTGGAACCAGCACAGCGCACTCTGCTTTAGTGGCTTGGCACTTTGAAAGCAGTTTACACAGTGGGAAGTGTATTTGGTGCGTCGGAGCAGGGGGATTTTTCCGTCTGTCCCATGGCACGATGCAGTGACGGTGCCTGAGTCTCCTCTTGCCCTTGCAGGGAGAGCAAGCTGCTCGTGGCCGCGGCAGAGCTGCCATCCCACTGCGTGTCCTCAGAATGCAAGTGGCAGTGTTATGAGGCCTCTGGGGCAAACGGGAGGCATCTTGCTCTCTTCCCATCTTCTCTCACAAATCCTTTGTTCCCTATCCGGCCTGATTTCCCTGAGGGAACAGCACCTGTCCTTGGGGAACTCCATTGTGTGCAGTGCAAGGGGGCACTGCAATCCCCGTTTCCTGCTGCTCCATGTGCCCACCCCAGGCTGCCTTATAACCTGTAGCCACCTCTAGAGCCCCAGGCCCCACGGACTCGGCTGCGGCGCAGAGGCCGCAGAGGCCGGGGCAGCGGTGCCTCCCCGGCGAGGGCAGGGGGCTGCAAGGGCACCGGGTGCTCCCTGCGTGTCTGGGCTTGGTGAGAGCTGAGAACGCTCGTGTCGCTGCCATGCGGAAGCGATGCCTACGGGTACAATCYGCTGCCCCCCTTTCTGTCCTTGGTTTTGTAGCCATGCCGGCCACGACAGATATCCGCGTACCTGAGCRGCCTCTGTGTGTTTTTCCCTGCAGACTAGCTCTGCTAAAATGCAAATCATCGTCTTGCCACGGCAGCAAGGCCGTTCCTCCTGAAGGATCATGTGACTGGAGATGTGAAGCAGATAACTTCAGCCCATCCCTTCCTCTGCCTGAGATTCGGGAAGCAAAGGGTTGGCAAAACGTCACCCTGGAGCTGCATCCGGGCAGCCATGGGCTCCCGCGTCGGGATGCACCGCGAAAACGCCTTTTCCCGCTGACTGCTTTYGAAAGGCAGCGATCAAGAAATTTCCTCTCAGGAAGCCACATAAGAACGTGGAGAGCAACTGTGCTGCAGCTCGAGAGCCCCAGAGGAAACCAGAGCACCTGTTCTGCAGATCTGCACCCTCCTAGCGCAGTTCTGGTTTCCAAAAAAAGGACTGCTTTATCTCAAAAAAAAATCTTCTAAAGATATTCTGATGAGAGAAATCTCTGCATTACTGAAGCATTAAAACAGAAACAGGTAATCTCTTTGGGTGACTATACTTTTTTTCCTAGCTCATWTGCAAAAAGCAAATTGCCTGCCTCCTAAGCCTGTGAGGTGAATGACAGAGGTATGTGGTGYTATTGGTGATTTTGCCTTGATGAAAATGTGTGTTTTGAGCTATAGTGTCTGAACTGGACCGAGTCACTTATACACAACTTCTGACTTCAGATGAGGTAGTTTGCATAGTTTTGTGACTATTCTATCTCATGTATATATTTAGGAAAAAAGCTGGGTTTTTTTTTTTTTTTTTGTGATGATAAATATGAAACTTACTATGATGCTTAGCTTAAACTTTATTAAGACCAGTATAAACTYCAGCTGAGGTATGAATTTCATTTTTAAACTGACTTAGGTTTTAGCACATGTTCAGTCTATTCTGGAGCCTTGCTTTTTAGCCACTTCCCCCCTGCAGATAAAGACAATTAAATGGCATGTCTTGAAGAGTGTGCTTAGTAACTGCAGGATGGTGGGAAATTCAGATTTCACTTCTCATCTGGCTGTTGTTGACACCCTCCAGCGGAGTCCAGTTTACTAGAACTAACTGTGATCTCCAAAGTTTTCTTCACGTTCCTGGAAAAGCATCTGATGGCTTTGTTTATTCTTTCAGGTGAGCTGCACCCTATTTACATACTTCACTTTGCTCCCCTCTCCTATTATTTTTTTTCACATTCTCCCAGTCAAAGTCTTTCTGCACAAAAAAGTGAATCATTTTCCCATAGACTTCAAGTTTGCATTCAGTTCCTCAACTCAGTGACTGCTTGAACAACTTCTGTATGTTCACACCTTTGCAAATCTTGCTTATATTTATTTCTGCATTGGATTTTTGGGCTCAGGAATACACCTTCCACCTTAATAATATACCTACCTCCACCTTAATAAGCTGGTTTGTCTTCACTGTCATCTCAACAGGGCATTCGTGGCTTTCCMGTATCTTGCTACAGCCATCCCCTATTGACTGCTGGCTCAAACACTGAGATCAATCAACACAGCCATTCCTAGAAATTACTCCATCAATTCTATACTGTGCTTAATCTCTCTCTCTTTTTTTTTTTTTTTTTCTGAGTAGAGTGAAGGAATTATCTGTCTGTTACTTGTATTTTTGGTGAACGTATTGAAACAAAAAGGCTTTCTCATTTCTTTCATGTCTGAAAGTCACTTGATAGAAATGTCATGATTTCTCTTTGTCCCATGGTTGAAACTGGCAGAGCCATAATCACATACTGGTTTGTCTGTGCGTGTTGTTCCTCCATCAGCTCCTTGGTAGACCAAGTTCAGCAGTAGTGTCAAAATTAGAACACCTGTATTTCATAGTCTGTGTCTCTTTTACTCCCCTAGCTGACAGCAGCTGCAGCAACCAACTTTCTGCAGAGTGGATCATTTAGCTGATCATATAATTATAGAATCACAGAATCCTTATATTTGGAAGGAACCTCTAGAGATCATCTAGTCCAACCCCCCTGCACATGCAGGGTCACCTACAGCACGTGGCACAGGGCTCTGTCCATGTGAGTTTGGAAGATCTCCAGAGAAGGAGACTCCACAACCTCTCTGGGCAGCCTGTGCCAGKGCTCTGGCACCCTCACAGGAAAGAAGTTTTTTCTTAAGTTCCTGTGGAACTTTTGGTGCCTCAGTTTGTGGCCGTTTCCTCTAGTCCTATCTCTGGCCACCACTGCAAAGAGGCTGGTCCCCTCCTCCTCACTGCCTCCCTTGAGGTATTTATAGAGRCTGATCAGGTCCCCCCTCAGCCTYCTCTTCTCCAGGCTGAACAGGCCCAGCTCYCTCAGCCTTTGCTCATAGGGCARATGTTCCAGGCCCCTGGTCATCTYTGCAGACCTGCGCTGGACTCCCTCCRGCAGCTCCACATCCCTCTTGTACTGGGGAGCCTGGAACTGGAGTGTCTTTAACTCATCTCTGGATTCCCAGCCTTGAAAATCCCATACCTGGCAAAAAGATTGTTTTGAAGGGCTGCTCCTCTACCTCTTCTTGCCTAGTTATTATGTCCTAATGTTGGGGCTCTCCTCTCCAGTGCATCTTGCTCTCTCTTCTGCTTGATTCCTTCAGGAATGCGTGGGAACCCACATTATAGCATCATTCTTCGTTCTTTGCAGTTCTCATAGCCAAAGAAAGCAATTCCAAGTCAACTCTGTGTCACAGAAAATTAAAAAAATAGTATCAAGAAGACATGAAGGCAAACCATCTGGCATGAGAAGGATCCATCCATTAACCTATCCTGTCCTTGTGGAGAAAGCTGTCCCCGTTTCACAACCACTCCAACCACATGTACCTTCCAACACAYGCTATGGAGGAGACCAGAACAGCCTGATCTCAAATATTGTTGAGAAAGGGCCAAAAGGCAGAGGAGGCATCAAAACAACTTGCAGGTGAAGCACCATAACTGTGGAAATCTCAGCCCAACAAAAATAATGGGAGCAACCTTTTATTCTTTGTTTATCAAAGTAAGAACTAAATGGAACAAGGAGAGCATCGTAAGTTAAAGCCTAGTGGCTCATTTTTTGATGGTCTCCATATCTGCAGGCTTCACCTAGCTTAGGCTTTCMTGCCAGTAGCACAGCTCATCTAATTTTTAAAAATTACGCTCTGCTTGAAAGGATAGCTCCGTGCCCAAAGGACCTGCCACCTGATTTCATTAGAAGTCAGCTATAAATCTTTACAAGGTTTCCATTTGTTCCTGAGGCAGAGCAGTCTTTATGTGACTGATGTACTGAAAGCATGATTGATTTGGGGCAGCCCCTGTTAAATCCAAATCAAATGGTACTTGTTCATCATCTCTGTAAATCAGGATCTTGACAGCTCGGGTCTCGAAACCTGAGTTTCTGAGCACTCGTGGCAGGTTTAGACTTCAGTGACCCCTATCCAGGAGAAGAACAGTGTGTGTCCTGGTGMGTAACTTGGCAGCACTGGAGTGATGTTTTATGTCGCATCACTGGATSGGCTGTGTATGCAGTCCCTGTCCATCACAAAATTGCCTTCTTTTTGCTGAACTGAGRGAAATGCAGTAATTTCTGGGAGTTATTTCTGGAAGTGGGACTGATCGTTGGCCTGTAGATACTGAATTATTGTCTCTTTTAAAATGAATGYGACACCTTCTCTCCTAAAATTAAATGAGTGGTTTGGTAGGCAGCGTGCTAACGCTGCATTGTGTACCAGGTTCTCATACAAYCAGGGTGACTCTGAGGCCTTTTCTGATACCATGGTAGATGAATATGGTGTTTAAAATACTAGTTTTCCACCCTTCTCCCCAACGGTGGGTCTTGATGGTCTTTGCCCGGTGTTTCCCAGTGAGTTGGCTCAGGAGGGCAGAGGCACCCTGGGCAGGAGGTGCCTGGAACTGGGGTACCTGGACAGGATGGGTCTTCCCCCTTGGGAGCTGCTCACTTGGGAACAGTGAGGAGCTCTTCCCCGGGGGAGCTACCAGCGCTTTCCGCCCTCTGTTGTTCCAGTTGTTCGTGATTCTCTGGTCAGACCAGCAGGGCCCGGCGGGAGCTTGCCAGGCCTGGGTGGAGACTCTGCTTGAGCCTCTGCTGGCCGTGGCTGCCTGCAGCCCAGGAACACAGGCTGGCTGCTGGCGTTGGCCGGCCGTGCCCGCCTGAGAAACCTGCACGAAGGCCGATGGGAGTTGGTGTGCCAGCACTGTTTGCATTGGGATGCAGGAGTCTGGCACCAAAATGGTGACTGCTCTCCTGGGTAGCTCTTGGAGGGCCAGATTTGGCGTCTTCAACTGGTATTTTAAGGATAGGAAACACCTGTACAAGGTTTCCTCCAAGTTTGGGTGTATATTTCAGGCTTTGTTCACTACTATTACCATAAAATTTCTGTTTCCATGACTCTTTTTTATTTCTTGGTTCAGGGAGGTGCTAGAAGTCCAAGGATTCACACAGAAGTAAAGAGAAGAATGAGGGTGTTTAGGCCAAAAAAGATTTGGATGGTTGAAAGCGGCGAGTGGGGAGSATCCCGGCTCCCCGCTCGGCAGCGCCTGCCCGGCGCCGAGCGGGTTCTGGGCTCCGCCGTGGTTCTGTTTGCCTGTCCGGTTGCCCGGACACTGGGTGCAGAGCAGCCTGCGCYGCAGCAAGGAAGGGCTTCCCAAAGCTGGGCCTAGGCCAGAAGCTCCAGCCTGCTCCGACGTTACGGTCTGGGGCCTAGACCAAGGCGTGACCGGTGGCGCTGAGAGGGGCTCATGAGGACGCAGGGTTCTCCTGGGCAGGCAAGTGAGGAGGTGGCATCGGGATCCCAACCCTGCTCTGGAGAGGAGAGTGGAGCTGCTGGCAGCGTCCGTGCTGTTGGCTGTTGCTGTTTGGTGTTGCCAGAGCGCGTAACGGCGCCTGTTCGGTGTTCAGTGCTAGCCCCTACGGAGGAGAGAGCAACAGAGGACATTGTGGGGAGAATTTTCAGTGTTTATTTCCTATATTAAATAAACGCTTATTTCCTRTAATAAGTACTGGCTTAGAAGTTGGTTATCCCGACGCAAGTGTAGGATACCCTTGTGTTGGGGGACCCTGAAATAGCCCAATAAACTCCGCCCAGCTATTGATGTTGAAAATGGGCTAGTTACTAATTTGTTGCTTTTTGCTCCCATCTCTTATCTTCCTGTTATTTCTGTGCTTGCTAATGTAAAACAAAAGCAAGAAGAGGAGTGCTTAATTTTATGCCGATGAATTTCTTTTGTATTAAAGTTAATTAAAAGATAAGGAATATAATAAATGCAGTAATTTAGACATGTTAGACATGCTGGAGAGAAGCAGCGGGGMGGGAAGGAGTGGGGTCAGAGCGCTCCTCTGAGAAATCCCCAGCTAAAGCAAAACTCAGCCTCTCTAAAAGCATCAGTGACTTGTTTTTGTTACTTAGAAATTAACCAGTTTTGTGTCTCAGTGGAATTTTACTCATTTGAACTTGGTGTTGCAAATGATAAGACTTGATGAGGAGATGAGGAGAGGCCACGTTGCAAGATGTACTGTCTTCATTTATTTAACAAAATCCAATCTTTTATTTAGGATGCTTCAGGAGAAGTGCAAGAGAAAGCTGGATGCATACTTTAAGTGAAATCAATTATGAAACCCTTAGCTATGGTGCTGTCCCTCCTTGYAAACTTCATGATGCTTGCGATTCTGTTGAGCATAAATATGTGATAGGGATTTCTGCTCATTTGGCAGATGTGGGAAAACTTTCTCTCTGCAAACCAGCTGATGAACAGAAGCAGGACACTGAGCGATGAAGTGTTAGACACTCTCACAAGGCAGGTTTTCAAATGGGCAGATATCAGATGTAATTCAGAGTCCTTAATGCTCTGCAGTCCCCATTTTCAAATCAGAAAGATAAAAAGTAACATTCCTCTGCAGTCCCTCGTCTCCCTGCTAGGCAGGCCTTAAGTAGCCCTGCTTTCCACTTAGAGCTCACTGGTGCATGTGGCCTTTCAGCGAGCAGGTAGGTAGGAAGGAGGCCGCCTTTGACAGCAAGTTGATGGTGACATGATCTGAAAGCTAAACCCAGTCTGGGTTCCACGCTCCAGGTGTGGGACTGAGCTGTCATTCGGAATGAGCTGCAGCTGCCTAGATGCCCTGTGCTCAATTACTTTTTCTTCTCGCCCTTGCAGTTGTGTTGCTCTCAGGACGGGTAGGACCTCGCAGCTGGTCACTCCTCGCGCTGAAGGATCACCCCAGCAAATGTGACAGCCCGGAGAAGCTGCCTTCCCATCAGGAGCAACTAAACTGATGGACAGTCTGCACCGGAGCCATGGGGTGTAAAACTTCYGTGCCCTGCAATGCGACGAAAAAGTCAGAGAGGTGTAAGTGCTGCCTTTGTCTTTACAGTCAGTGGTGGTTCTCTCTGTAAAACCAGAATGGGTAACATTTTACCTCCTGTGCAATTGTCAAGTACTTTTTCAGTTAAACTATTCTGTATGCCATCTTTAAATGCTTGCATAGCTTCTCGGGGCTTTCAGGAGGCCTGTGTACAGCAGCTGTAGTGTTGGATCACCCAGGAAAGGCTGAATTTCAGGTGCACGTGTGCTCTCTCTCTCTGTTACCAGTGAGGGGTACGGGGCAATGCATTGAGAGGGGCCCTCTGCGGCCTTTCAGAACATGGATTTCCTGAGCAAACTGCTCCAGTTTCCCTCCTGCTGGGTGACCCTGATTATGAAGCTGCTTTAATAAGGCAGAGCAGCTGCAGTGACCTACAGAGTCATTTTCCTGCCACACGCAGTAGTGGCCCTGAGACTCTCTGTGATGGTCACTGGAGCTGTCAGGTGCACATCTCTGCAGGGCCTGGATCACAGTTCAATTAAAATATCTGTGTGTCAGCCCCTTGCTTTTAAACACATTTCACTCCAGTATAGACACATCTTGGCTTTGCATAGGCACATGAAGACCAGAATTTGAACAAAGAAGTCTGTTTGGACCTTTCCAGGTCTTGTTTTATCACAATTCCTCACAGTCATCACAATTCACATATCTGTCAGAAGCCGTTACACAAGGCCCAGTGTGTTGTCTTAAGAGACTACAGTGAATAACCATGGAAAAATGGGTCCTGTTTCTGGCTACAGAGCAACCAGACCACAAGTGTCAGGAAACCAGTGGCTGTAAGAAGCTGGCAACTTAGTCATGACTATGGGGGATCCAAGTTAACTGGTTTACAGTTGGGCTCTTAGCTCTATCTACATCACTTGTCCCTGCATCATCCTTGATGCTATATAATGCATTCATGGCATGAATTTTAGAGGTGCTTGACCTTTCCCAACACTTCTAGGTGAGCACTTTAGTGCAGTGTGAAAATCATATTCTGTCTCATTTATTACTGAGAGTAACAGTGCTGTAGTAAGTATATAATTAAAAGCAAAATCTCAGGAATATTCTGTTGGAGTTGCAGCATTACCCCTCATTGCCGATAAACACGTCTGCCCCGTGTGATTTCTGTGGCGCTCTGCTGTGTTACGTGCCCAGGACCAGACCATTATACAACGCAGAGAGGTTGAAGCGATGTTTATTGGTGTTGTCCCAGGGAAGTTTGTGCTGGTGACACTGGAAATGTGTTTCTGGGTCCCACGCTGCTCTCCTAAGCAGGGAAGTTGATGCCATCCTTACTGTGGGCTGACGGGCTGCAAAGTGTGTGTCCATTCCAGAAAGGACAGAAAACAAGAGACGTCCCAGAGGCCTGTGGAGGGAGGGTGTTCTTGGTCCTATCAAGCTTAGGTTGCTGTCAGGCTGGAGGTTTCTTTTTCTAGGAGGCATGAGATATTTGCAGGATGGGAGCCCAAAGTGATAAGTGATCTTGGCCTAGTGTGCTGGAGACCATCACCACTTCAACTGTACTGCTGTGTTTTTAAGCAAAAAGTCAGCAGGCATATTGCTATTTCAATTCCAATAAATGTTTTCATTAAAATGATTACATAGTATTAAACATATATTAAACATATATTAATCACAGAATCAGTTTTCCACCTCATTTTAWTTTTTTTTAACCAGTTTGTCTGTCAGTTTAGGAAAAAAATACTCTTACTCATGAGACTCCATTTATCCAAGTCTTATAATACCTAGTATTTGTGATGAGCTAAAATAATTCATTGGTGTAATCTGTTGTCCCTGCAGTGCAGAGCTCTTCTGGGCTTGTTTCCCAAGGCAAAAAATCACTTGAAGCTCTCAGATGGATGTTTTGTTTTGTGTTATTTGRCTTTGATAATTGCTTTTTATTTCAGGAAATAGAACAGAGTGCAAACATATTAGTGTTAAGATGTTAGCGTTGTTGCTATTTCCCATTTTCTTCCTTGCTCATAAAGTTTTGCAGTGCTGCACAGTGGTTTTTTTTTTTTTTTTTTTTTTTGTAATTCTGGAGCACTTTTCAATTTTATTTCCTTTTTTTCTCCCAGTCATCTGTGTTCCTGGTCAAAGACAGGCCATGGGCCTTGGGAGCGCTGGGAGCCCAAGATCAATGGACCCCTTTGGTCCCGTGCCCTTGCCAGGGTGGTTGTGCAGCTGCTGGGCCTTGCTTCTCCAAGGTCAGGAGAAGCACGGAGACGTTTCCCTGTCACCACTGCTCACTGTACTCGCCCATTGAGGGCTGTGTCCCTTGGGAGATGGATTGACATGAGAYGTTGGCTGCAGACTCTGCCTTGGCATTTCTGGCCCTGTCTGCCCAGCTGAGAGTACGAGGGGGAAAAGTGTGCAGAAAAAGTGCCAGGAACCAGTCAAGAAAGCACAGAGCTGCCTTCAACTTCAAGCAAGTAAATGTGACTTGTCTTGAGAGCAGCTCCCCCTCACCTTGTTTTACTTGTGTTTCCAGGCAAGGGTAGGGCCCAGACTTTGYGCCTGCCTGCGGATGGCAGCGTGAGCCGGCAGCCCTGGCTTCACAGGCTCACAGAATGGTTGAGGTTGGAAGATGGAGATCTCTCTGGAGATCATCCAACCCAACCAACCCCCTGTTAAAGCAGGGACACCCAGAGCACGTGGCACAGGGTGGCATGCAGGTGGCTTTGGTTTCACCCTGGTTTCAGCCCCTGCTGCCGACTGGGTGCCAGGAATAGCAGGGGGTGTCTGTGGCGTGGTTGGGAGAGAGGGATGCCCATCAGCTCCAGCAGCTCCTGCCCTCGCTGCTCTCACTAGCTCCTCATGGCAGCCTGCAAAGGCGAGGGCTTTTTACTGCAGCTTGGCAAAGAGATACATTTCATTTGCAGCCCAAATTGGTCATCTTCCTTTCCTCACCTTCCTCAAACCCACATGCTGCTCATCAKCTACACCTGGCTGCCTTCTTAAATGGGTAATATCTTCTGCACCATCAAGTGGGAGAGGTTTGTTATGATATTAGCCTGAACAAGTCAGCTCATTTGGGACCTGCAGGCAGAAACAGTCGGCACATCATATATTCATCAGCAGGAAACATTTTTGCAGCCTCGCTTTGACGGAGCCCCATCTTAAAGCCGTGTGGGCACAGCGGGCTGGCTTTGTCACCTGCCTGCTGCTCTCTACAGGGGCAGGCGGCATTCCYGGGAGCAGGCGGCATTCCCGGGGCAGGCCGCGCGTGCCCACGTGTGCTCCCCCGCTCTGTTCCGGCAGTGTTGCGAGCCGCGCTCCTCATCCAGAGGTGGTACCGCGCGACCATGGCCCGGATAGAGATGAGGCGCCGCTACTGCCTGAACATCTTCCAGTCCATCGAGTACGCCGACGAGCAAGCCCAGCTGCAGGTCGGTACGGTCGGCGCCCCCACGTCGACATGCAGCTGTGGTGGGGCCAAAGCTGCATGTGCAAAACGTGTCGGGGGTTGCAGGGTTTCCTCGTGCAAAACTGGGAGCTTTCTGCACAGAGCTGTATAAAGCCACTTGCCTGCCTCGCAMGTGGACTGTGTAAGTGTGGTGAATCTGCACAGGCAGCAGGACATCGTTCTGCCTGTGCAGCCTCATCTGGGTCAGATGTTTCTGTTCTGCTAGCCACGGGCTGCAGGTCATTGCTCTATGGGTGATCTTAACTGTGCCAGTGAGGTTAGACGTGTGCAAGAGAGACGTCAATATCACAGCAAGTCATCCCAGGCCTCCTTCAGGGTCAGTTCAGGGTATTAGGGTCTTCTAGGGCATTGCATTCATCCWGTGTCAATGTCTTAACGTGAGTGAGGTGAATTATGGTGGTTTCTTTTTATTGGTTATAGAGAAAATCAAGGCAAGTAATTTGGATTGTAGGTAAAATGAATGACACCCAAAAATGTCAGTAGAATAGATAGAGGCTTGGGACTTTTCATATAGTGTCAACCTGCTAATTCACAATAAGAAAGAAAAGAATAAGCTGCAATTTTTGTAGGAGGACAGAGGCTGGGTCATAAATATAGATWGATGCTATAAGATGGGAAGATGGAAGTGGTATCTTCCATCTTGGGAAGATAGAGTGGTATCTTAGATCCCCCAAACAGGAAATTAGTAGTGACTGACTAAGAGAAGGGAATGGTAATGCCTGTTGGAACTCATCAATATGTGTTTGTTCTTTTCCTTAYGCAGTTATCCAACTTTTTTACATTCATGATGGATCAGTTTTCTCAACCTGATGCAGGTAAGGAAAAAAGTCAACGTAATAGGAGGATTCTGTTTGAAAGACTTASTGGGAGATAGTTAATTTTTCAAGTGTTAAATTTTAAAACTTGTTCTGGGTTTTGCTGCAGAAGATTTACTATCAACAGGAATTTGGCTACGCTCAATTGTTTTTAAACTATTCTTGTTTGCAAGTATAAAAATTAGTACTTGGAGATGTTACAGTATTCCACATAACATGTCATATAGCTGAATATTTTGGTCTAATTTAAAAAAATGAATTTAATTTTAATTATGTACTGATGTCACTTAAAAATTAAATGGTAAGTACTATTGACTTGACATGATTAACAGTTTCTTTGTTACTGCCTGCCTGGTGTTTCCCTCTGTGATCCCTCTGTGAATGAGAAAGTYCAAAGGTTAGGGAGCATTCAGACACAAAAGCTGGAAAAGCTGAAAGGCCAGAACAGAGCGTGTCAGGGGAAGCTCTACAACAGCAGTATATTGTATCTTTATCTCAATAACGTATGAATGGAGCAAACATAACATAGGAGTGCAAAACTCCTATGGATAACATAGGATAACCTATTCCTTAACATGGAATTCCTTAACATAGAATATATGGATGGTTAAAATGAATAATTTAAATTGATAGGGATAAGAGTTTAGTAGGCAGCTCAATTAAAGAAATGGAAGAATAACCTTTAATTTTTGAAGTATGAGGAGATGCTAAGATAAAACTCAAGTTCAACAGAAGGCCAGATTGAAATGACCTTTCTAATTCCAGGAAACAAACACCTATTTCCCTGAACAACTTGCAAATAGATCTGTTCCCTTATGAATTGAGAGGATGCTGCCTGCCTCTTACTGAATTATAAGAGGCTATCCTTTCTCTTCCATCTGGTCCAGGTGCATGTTACTCCAATTAAAATTTGCACAAGACACTGATAGGAGAGTGAAACCACAGTGAAACCCTAAGTGGTTCAGTGTTCTAATGACAACCATTATAAATTGCATTTTTTCTCCCTTAAATACTTTAGAGTGCTTAATGATCTTGGGTGCTCTGCAGAAAAGGAAATTAGATTTGCACCTTGCTCCAGAGCCAAGATGGATGATGCAGTAGTCCTTCACTTTGAAGTTATTTATTGCCCCTGCATTCTGCAAACAACCTGCTTCAATCATGGGACTTCCTGGGAAGGAAGTGACCCATTTTAAGAAAAGCAGGCTCTGCTCACATCGTTTATCTTTCCTATATACCTTAGCGTGCCTTGGTTCAGCTTGTCTTCTGAGTGGGAAGCAAAATATTAGTGCTAAGCCTGAGAATTGGGTAAAGCAACATTAATCTCCATTGTCATTAAAATATCAAAAGGGGATTTTACATGTGCCCCCCTGGAGATGTGATTTGTCCACCTTTACTAACTAAGTCTATTGACTTAAGGCCTTGAGTGGCAGAGGTGACACAGACTCTACCCTGGCAGAGCCCAGGAGTGGCCTGGCTGCGGACCCAGGCTCTTCCCATGTCGGGGCAGGCTGACCTCTTTCTTGGGACAAATATTAACCATGCAGACAYGGTTAATGCTAAACCATGTGAAAAAGTGTATGGTTTTTGGTAAAGCTCCCCTTTGTCTTCCTTACGCAAAACTTCCATCTGTTAGCACTGAAAATGGTAGGGCTTGAGACCTGCCCCAAAGACTTCATTTTTGTCTTGGTTTGTTTTTCCCTTTCTGATACCCTGTGTAACTTATATCTAAACCCCACTAAGAAATGGAAGGTTTCCAAAATGGAGAGGCAAACTACGGTCTTGTGTCCAAAGGGGCTGTCTTTGGTTTTTAGACTGAATATGTTGAGTGTAAAATTGAATTTGTGGTTAAGCTTGTCCAGCTGCTGCCTGCGTGCACACCTCATTTTAAGCTCTTGGTTGTCTSCCCTTCTTCGTGGCCTTGGCAGCACTTTGCTCTCCCTCATTTAAGCAAAATCGGTGCTGAATATAAAGTTTCTCCAGCAAGTGCTTCCAATTCTGCTGAGTCACAGTCCTAAGATGTGAGGCACTGTGAATGCAAAACATAGCAAGCAGAGAGGCTTCACCTTAGCTTTGCTATTCCCAAGTGCATTCTGAAACCTGCAAACTTTAGCTTTTTGTTTTTCATCTGTGTGTGCTCACTTAAATTACGGTGGTCAGATATGATTCAAAAGCCCTCTCTCTGAAGATGGTATCCGGTATTCTTACCAGAGCACAGCTTACCTGTCCTACTCGGTGCTGGATGATGAGGAAGMTACCTGCAGATTTTGCGACTGTTTTTCCTTCCATTATAACCCACTGAATCTCCCCTACTTAGCACATCACTTTCCTCTCTTTCATCTTCTCCTTCAARATATGTTTTATTGAAAGAGAAAGCAGTCCCTTTCTCATTAGCAAACTAGAGCTTTTCATAGGATTGTTTTTCTGCCATACCCCGTAGCTCTTTTCATCCTCTCATCCTGTTTGAGATGTCAGTGMAGGTTTAAATCCTTAGCCGGTGCATCTCCTGGGATAGCACATCGCTGTGTATCRGAGCCCAGGAATCCGAGGTGTTTATCCAAGCCAAGGAGCGAGCTGCTTTCCTGCYGGGAGTGGATCCTTGCAGCAGTGTCGGACTGGCCGGGAGCAGCCGCAAGGCGCCGGTGTTGGYGGGAGAGGTGGTTGCCCCACTGGTGATGCTGCCACGCGCGCTGGTGCAGCGCCGAGTGCGGCTGCTGCCCTGCCGGGGGGACACGCTCGGCTCCCAGCTTGGGCTGCCCCCCGTGCCAGAGGATGGAGCAGATCATCACCGGGGCTGTGCRTTTGCAGAAGGGTATCTCCTGCTTTAGGCTAGGGGCTAAGCCAGGCACTTCTAGAGTCATCATCCTTGTTTGTGCTTACGGACTAAAGAGCCTGGACAGAGGGACTAGAACCATGGCTTTTAGTTGACCGAAATGAGGGTGTCCTGCAGGATTCATCCCGCACAGGGCTGTGGCGAAGCTGGGGACTCCAGGCTCAGGGCACGCTGCTCTCCTGGCGGCTCCAGGGCATCTCTTCCTGGATGAGGGGCTGCCTGCTCCCAGGCAAGACGGGAAAGAGCCTTAACATCTAGCTGAGTGCCCAGGGAGGGTGTAGAAGAGCTTTCCAAGCCTAAAAACCACAGCTGGCTCTTCACTCCACATCCAGCAGCAGAAAATGGGGGTGCTTTTCATGCCCCCCTTCCCTGTCAGGGAAGGCGGTTCGGTTTCTTCGCCTGGGCAAGCACGAAAAGCAGAGAGAGACATCGAGGCCGGTGGGCCCCTGCGTGAGCCCTGGTGGGCAGGGGATGGCTTGGGTGGTGTGAGGGAGCGGCCCTGTTGGGGGCAGGGAGCCGCTTCCCGAGGGCAGGGATGCGGGAGCGGCCCTGTTGGGGGCAGGGAGCCGCTTCCTGAGGGCAGGGATGCGGGAGCGGCCCTGTTGGGGGCAGGGAGCCGCTTCCTGAGGGCAGGGATGCGGGAGCGGCCCTGTTGGGGGCAGGGAGCTGCTTCCCGAGGGCAGGCATGCGGGAGGCGCCTTCGCGTGGGTGCCCAGAGCCAGTGCCCCGGCGAGGCCCTGCTGGCTCTGCGGGTGGCCCGTGGCCGAAGGCTGCCRGTGGGGCTGCACAGGGGGCACCGCCAAGCCTGGCACCTTGCTCCTACCCGAGCGTGCTCCCAGCTCTCAGCAAGGAACCACTGGAAAGCAGAGCTTTTTATCCAGGACTGGTAAAAGGGGAGCTTTTGGCTGCTTGTTCCTTTAAAATGAATTTTCTGCTGTTACAAAACCATCCAGTCTTTGTGAATCTCCCGAGGCCACGCGCGGGTTTCAGCTGCCGTCGGCTTTCTGTCCCGGCCGTAGATTGCATCCAGCAATAAATAATACATCTGTTTCCAGTTGCATCTCATGAAGGTTCCGGAACATTTACCTGCAACCCAGCTAAAAGTGCTTTGGACCAGTCGCCTCACAAGAGCAGCCCTGTAAGAGCCACTGCTGTGAACACCGTCATTTAGCATTCTGGCTCCCTCTTTTGCCACGAGAGATGGTAAAGACAGTCTGCAAGAAGAAAGCACTTAATTCTGCTTTCACGCAGATGTAGATATCCCAAAATATTGGATGGAAGCAATTAGCCCTGTTCCCGCTTTCTCCGTGCTCCAGGAAAATCCGAAGAAGCTGTGCTCTACTTTTCCACCCATGCTTGTGTTTTCTGTGTTTCATCCAATGATTTTATGGCAGCCAGCCAGAAGCTGGCCTTGCCTGCGGCGCTTTGCACACCACTGGGAAGAAATCGCATTCTGTTGTTGGCCTTCTAAATCTTCAACTTCTGGTGTCCGGCTTGCAGGGAAAACGGGAGTGGATTTTTAGAACAGGTATTAGAAGTGTCGTATTGAGTTGTAACGGGGTGAAGGTCACTGAATGTTCAGCTGTGGCTCTTGAATCCCCTTGCTCCATAGGGGTCAGAGAAGCCGCTCTGTGACAGGTTGTGTTTCTCAGTGTCTGGGAGAGCAGATTGTTCCTGAATCTCCGTGCAAAATGTTTTACATCCTAACCACAGCTACTGGCTGCCAGGGGGATTGGTGTTTTTTGTTTCTTTGGGTTTTGTTTGTTTGTTTGTTTTTGTTTGTTTGGTCTTGTTTTTAGTATTATGATATAATTTGGGGAGATAAGGAGCTGTGTACAAGGTAGGAACAAACCATAAACCAAGAACTGTAACATTCCAGGGTATTAAGCATCAGTTACACTCATAGGTCTGGTCACACTGTTGTCATGCTCTGAGGGACCTGTGGGGGTTTCTACATTGTCACACTGTGGGGGCTTCTACGTTGTTTTTCTTCCTTCTTGTTCCAGATTCCAAGGGCCCTAGTGATTTAGAGATGACAGAGTCAAACTTCAGTTTAGCAGAATTTGAAAGAAGGATTGATGTCCCAGATTCCTATTACGGACCACGACTCAAATTCCCCCTCACTGTTGCAGATGCCAATGCTCTTCTTGATGCTTTCAAGAAAGAAGAGGTGGGTTGCAACAATTTTTATTCCTTTTTCCTCATTCTAACTGCCTGTCAAGCTCCACAATCACTTGCATCTGTACTTCTGCCAAGGTGGGTTTCTTGCTCATCGTCTTTTCCATGCCTAGTTATGCATTTCTGCTGCTCCTTGTCTGACGTGGTGCCTGGAGGTTACCCAACAAAAACCCACCCGGTCAATTCCCAGCTGGACTTAGTCCCAGGGTGGGCTCACTGCTTGGGCAGCACTGGGGAAATGGCAGGGCCTGCTGAGCATATCCTCTTCTGGCACTGAGATTGTGGTGGCCTTGAAATGGGAACCACCAGCAGCTGTTAGATGGGAAGCAGTGAGGATATAGGATGGGGAAATGTTCCCTAAGTCAGTCCAGAGACTGGTTATCTTCTTTTTTCACTTTGTTAAAAATGAAATTGAAATGCACCAGGCGTAGCCCAATGGACTCTTTTTAATTTCACCCTGTTTTTTCAGAGGAATTGAGGTACCAGAGTTGATCACCTTGTTCTGGTGTGTGAGATCTCCCCCGAAAGGGAGCGAGTGAATACAAACACTGCCAACGTAGCTGAGCAGGGTGGTACTACAGACCTCACGAGCTCTCTTTCTGCTGCCGCCAAGGCCCTGAAGAGGCTCCGTGCTGGTCCTCTGTGCTTGCTCTTTAGGAAGCCCCCTTGCCCCTAAGATGGGGGCAGGATGGGGAAGCATCACCTGGCCGTGCTTCGTTGGACCTCTTAAAGTTCGGCATTTAGGCTTAACAGGGTATTTACTAGAAGTAGAGGACAGCAATCTATCTTGGTACTTAATTTACTAAATAATGCTCTTTTTGGCCTCTAATTTTGTGTGGAGGCTGCTCGTACAAGTAGACAGATATAAAGCACGTGTTAAGTGAGAACACACAGCCTTCTCGGTCAGCTCTCTAATCTCTTTCTGTGGTCAGCACTTTTTTGAGGAAGTGATTATGTGTAATTGGCTTTTTTGTTTATTTTGAAAACATCCGTCTCACAAAGTCAATCTGTGGCCTAGCTGTCTCCTGTACCAAACTTCCTCAGAGATTGCTGTGTTTGAGTTAAAAGCCTTAAAAATCACTGCCTGACAAAATCACCATAGAAAACAACAGCAGAGCAGAAGCCCAGAAAAGCACTTAGAGGAGCAAGGACATAAATCTCTTCGGAATCTTTAAAGACTGAACGTTTCATTCTCACAATGTGTGAGCAGAAACAATGAGCAGAAAGATGAGTATTAATGAGGTAACACTCACTGGAGTTTCCTCCACTCATGTGTTTTTAATTTGCTAAAAAAATTTAAAAAATCATTTATGGCTTTTTTTTTCCCCCTCTTCTTCCTTTCTTAACTTGCAGCTAGAGGTAGTTGCTGCTGGTTTTAGTTTCTTTGAGCAGATGAATTTATGCAATGCTTCTAAGAAGTGTGGTACTACCTGCTTTCTTATCCTTTCTTTAGAAGGGGGGAGAGTAAAACAGCACAGTAGGAATAAGGGGAGGAAAATGAAAGCAAGTTCATTAAGGGCCTCCTATCTGTTCAGTGGTAAGGGAGAAYAAACCTGTGAACATTCCTAATTCCTGGCACTCCTGTTTTAAGGAGAGGTGTAGTGTAAATAATTTGATAGAGCTTCCTTGGCAATGACTGCATCTGGTATTAATGAAGCAGGCAGATTTCTTGCTGCTCCTAATGAGTCTCCCTGGTYTCACCACGTTTTTCCTCCAGCTGCTTCATGCCCGCTACGTCCTGCAGCTACTGCACGAAACCAGGAGGGTGCTCAAGGAGATGCCGAACATCACTTACCTTTCCACTTCCTACTCCAAGGAGATCACCGTCTGTGGTAAGGGCCACAGCAAAGGCCTGCTGCTGGCAGCAGGCTCATGCCCTGACAGCTGGGGGGTGGTATGGATGTTTCCAGCTGTAGCCATTGSAGGAACGTTCTTRATTTWTTTTTTTTTTGAAAAGTGCAAAATGGCAGAAACCAAGAAAAATAAGGTTACTGAGTCACTATAGCGTATTTTAAGAAAGTCCTTCACCTCCTTTTCCCTTTTCTCTTCTTGCTAAGTGTTTCTGAATGAGTCAGTATTAAATCAGCTAACACTGCAGCGTAGCCTGAATATTCCTGCACTTCCATCTCTGAGAAGGCACTGAGTGTTGTSATGACTGGCTGCCAGTCTCACCATTTTCTCCTCTTACTGAGAAAAAGACTTTGCCATCACAATTTACTCGGTAATGCTTTTAATGAGAGCTTAATAGGGGTGGCAAAAAAAAGACCTTGCAGTGACAGCATGACTGTCTGGAATAAATTGAAATATGTAATCGACTCATTTCTAAAGGGACTCATGGGGATGAATCAGTCTTTGTACAACAAACGGATTAGCCTCACAGAACAACGTGAGGTGTCCCAAGGTAAAGGCCTCGGAATTAAGAGCCCATTGCCCATCGTTTTATTATGCTCTTGTAAATTATGGATAAAGGGATGCTGCCTCATGCCTTGTCACAGGGGGTGATGGTGGCAAAACAGAGCAGCAAGGCTGACATTAACTCAGAGAGCTAACAGTGCCTGTGGTGTGTGCAGTAGGAAAGGGCACTACGACACACGCTGAACAGCTACTAACGTTTTTATAAGATGTGGTTGTGCAGCTCCTTTGATTGCCAGGCAGGGAGTTGTTTACATGAGATTTTGCATAAACAATAACTCATTAATCAAGGAGACAGACCCTCTGTCCAAGCCAAGGGAACATGGATTCATGTTTACTCGCTACAMAGCGAGCATACCTCCTCTTAGTTGCAATCACCAAGCAGCATCTAGAGGGTTCCCCTTCCTGCCCATCCATTTACAGCTTTKGTCATCAAAAAGATCTTCTGTGAAGGACAAAAGACCAGTTTTTTAAAGGTATCAGGTCCAAAAGGTTCATTTCCTTAAAACAAGGTGTCCCTCATACCTTTTTAATTTCAAAGAGTAGTGAGGATTAAACATGCATCTGAAATGTCTGCACCTCCCCTGTGATGTAAAAGCTAAAGGAGCCCTCAGAGTGACTTCACCTCTGGATGAATACCAAAAGTTGCACAGAAGCCGTATGGATGGGACAAAAAAAGGCCACATCATCTCTATCTCTCTCTCTCCCCCTCTCTCTCTCCCTTTTCTTTTACTCCAGTCAGCGGTGTTGAATCCGTACTGTCACAAGACAACTATCAGAGGTGTCCCATGGCCCTGTGGTGGTGAGGGCAGGTGGGAGAGGGCAGGTTCTGTGTGCCTGAGGTTTGCTGCCCTCCAGAGGGGAGCTGCCCTGCTGCCTGCTCCGGGCACAAGGATGAGGYCAGGATCAGGTCCGTCTGTCCTGCAGCCTCCGCCCCGGGCTGTGGGCAGGAGGGAAGTCCCGGACATCTCCACCAGATGCCAGCTGCTGTAATCAAGCCCTGGGTCAGCCCTGAGGATGCGCAGTGTGCAATGGACTGCTCTGTAAATTTGAAATCTTGTAGTAATTAGTGGTCTGTCATATTTCTAAAGTACTGATTCCTTTCTGTGACACACTGTGTTTCTCAGATGCATAATGTAGTAGTTCATCTTACTCACATTTCTCTGGACTGATTTTTGGGCTGTGTGACTGGTTTGATCTTCTGATTCAGTCAGGAAGTCAAAAAAAATGTAAGACATGTATAAACTCTATTAAGTATTTCATTGCCAGATTTCACTGAGCAACTTGAGTAGGTGTTTTAAAATGCTGTAGTTCTATTGCAAAGCAAATTATTAAGGGGAAACATGAGGGAAAAGTTAGCACTAACTCGTTTTTTTAATTCTAGTTTTCTCTCTTCCCTCTTTCATGTCAAAAAAAAAAAAAAAAAAAAAAACCAAAACCCAAAACTTGTTTTTGTTTCCTGTAGGAGATTTACATGGAAAACTGGATGATCTTTTGATGATTTTCTATAAGGTAAGTAGGTGTCCTGTGACATAGCATTTTGAATTCAAGGCTTGCTGTTAAGAACACTTACTTAATAGTTTTCAGCACTTTTCGAGTGGTTCATGTGGTGTGTGTGCATCACACACGTGTATGTGAAGAAGTACTAATTTGAATGGTCTGGGTCTGTCTAAATGACAATCTGGAGCGTGAACCCAAACTTAAGAAGGTTCCTTGCAATTTCTCTAAAGTCATGTTGCTGTTTTGTATTCTGTATTGGTTCAGGTTTTCTAAAATCAGGAGCTAACTTAGCTTCTTATGTGTCGGTACATCAGGGGCCATTTTGGCCCTCTGTAGTGAATGCAGAAGCTTTTTTGGGCCCATTTACACCTTCCATCAATACCTGCAAAATACTTATTTATTATTATTTGTTTACAGGAAGCAAAAAGGAGTAGCATCTGCTTAAAAGCCTTTTAATTCCTGAAAGTAGTCAGGTAACTTGCACAAAATGGATGTGCTTTGGACACCATTTACGAAGCTTTCAACAGCTGTCCACTTCTCATGTTAAACAAAGCAATTCGGTTTTATCGATGTCCAAAAAAGCTCCAGGCACTCTTTTCCACATAGAGTCTTGCAGGGTGCAAGATGCAGGAGTTTTCCTGTGTTTTGTTGCACGTTTCTCTCTAGCATGAAGACACCTCTCGTGTAGCAGATGTCCCCTCTGAATTTTCAGGGGCAGAGGGCTTGTGTCTGATGGTTGTGTGAAAGGAGGCTGTAATGAGTTAAGGCAGCTGCTTCATGGTGCAGTTCCCCGCTGCTTCCGGCTTCCATGCACTTCAGCCCCCGTTGGCTGAGTGGGAGGCTTGAGCCAAGCACACGCCTGAAGCTGCAGGGCTCAGCCTTCCGTATGGATCAGTAACTTCAGCTGATCCTTGGCTTGTTGTATTTAAGTTGTTACTTTGACTTGATGATTTTCCTATTTGAAACTGGGTATTAGAACAGAATAGGAGTATSATTCAGATTGGTTTTATGCACCTCACCTGGGGTGGAACAGAAGAGCGATTTTGAAGATAAATGCTCAGGGGTAGCTATATTTATGTGAGGAATTGACCTCATAGTCTTTCAGAGCTGGCAGAAGATGATTCCCTTCTCCTCCTCTAAGGAGATAATCCRAAAGAAAAATTCTCTTAGAGCAAACATGAAAACCCAGCACTAGTAAATTCAGATAAAAAGCAGCCACAGATTTCATGGGCTCTGCACAGAGCAACCAGCTGGCAGCCTGTGGGTTATCAGTGGGTTATCAGACCTATACACACACAGTTGTGTCTATAGGTCTTAAAACCGTTTTGCGTGGTCCTAAGATAAGACCTTTTCCTCAGTAATCTGCAAAATTCATCCAGTCTCTGCCGGACTGCAGCATTTCCTAAAGTTCGGTGAGACCCCTGAATTTTAAGTTCTGGATTGCTCACCGAGCTTGCTGAATGGGTGCTATGGATAGAAAGGCCCTGAAGCCAGAGAAAAGGCAAACGACAAAGGGAAGTTCATTCATCACTAGCCCAGAGGATGCAGTAGTGATGCCTAGCAGCAAGTGACCCTGCAGCACTTTCCTCCCAATCATCAGAGGGCCTCATGCACCTCTTTGGTGTGTCAGAGGCTGCCACGCTCGTTGATTTAGCGTTGCTCTTACTGCTGGTCGGAGCTGCAGGAAGGGAAGTGAGAGCTTTGCATGAGTGAGGAACAGAAGTGTCGCATCGGAGGGGAGACTTCAAAACAAACCCGCGTTTGAAACTAAGAGTTGTGGCTAAGCTTTTCCAGGAGAAGAATGGTAGGGAAGATCCATATCCCCGTGAGCACTGCAGCTGCATGTGCTGACAGTCTCCTGGTAATTCAGACACCTCTTAGCTGTGAGGCAAAGTTTTGATTAGTGCATCTTTCCATGAGCTGCTGCCTCGTCTGTTCCAGAAAAAGGTGATTCCAGAGATCAGGACGACTCCTGATCTTTTTGGCCTTCCTAATAACAGCACAGGSTTCCAATTGGGACAAAAGAAGAATGGGTTCCAGTGAAGAGCATAGTTGGGCCMCTGGCCAAATGGCACATCCCACAGCAAGCCCGTTGTGGCAGTGCAGTGCTGGCCACGCTGGCAGGAGTAGCGTTTAGCAGGTGTGATGTTTTGTGAAGCTGCCAAAGCTCACAAGCCTGACTTCAGCAATTGTCATATGACTTAGGTATTTCTTTTTCTTTTTTTTTTGAGGAATGTCCTCTAGACTCCAGTTTTTCTTAGGAACTTTAGCAGCGTGGACTGCAAACAATATAAGGGTAGGAAATCTGATTTCTCATTGTGTAAGGGAACACAAGGACCTTCAGAATTTGTGCCATAGGAGAATTTTTCCTGAACTTGTTGTCTCCCATAGAAAATGAATGATTCTTTTCTATTTGTAAGTGTGTAGCTTCCTGCCAGCAGTTCCTTTAATTTAATAAAATTAATGTAACAAAGAAAAGGGCCAGAGACAGCATCATCAGAACAGTCAGGGAGGTCTTCCCTCCTYTGATGGCTCATACAGGGTGTCTGGTATGGGGACATCTGCCCCAAGCACTGGGAATGCAGAAATACTCCATTTTAAACCTCTATATTAGGCAGACTCTTGYAGATTTCCTCACACTCTGATCTCATTTGGAGTGCTGTTTCTTTCATTACAGTGGCACAGCAGGGTCTCCAAATTTCCTTATTTCYGTTTCCTTCTGCAGAATGGTCTGCCTTCAGAAAAAAACCCTTATGTCTTTAATGGCGATTTTGTTGATAGAGGGGACAATTCTATGGAAATACTTATAATCCTGTTTGCATTTCTTCTCATCTACCCCAACGATTTACACTTGAACAGAGGAAACCATGAAGACTACATCATGAACGTGAGGTAGATTTTACTGGTCGGGGATGGGGGGGGATTTGTTTTTTCATTGGAAATGTTGGAGTCTTTGATTACAGCTTTAACCACTGTGCCACAGGTTTGATCCCTACAACAGAAGGGGTTTCCTGTGAATTCTGGTGTATTTCAGCATTTTTAATGGGGCAGGGCGGGAAGAACATTCTCCTGACACACAAGCCCTTCAATTCAACTCATTTCTTGTCTCTCACCTGCTCAAAGAGAAACCCCAAATAATAACCTTGGGGAAAGGAGGCTTTGGCTTGTTCCACAGCATAGCAAGAGCCGTAAGAGTACAATAAAATGGAGCTAGGAAACCATGAGTTAACATTTCATTTTCCCTTCTTCACTGCTTTTCCTAGGTGTCTCTCTGTCCTCACTTTTGACCAGGATCTCATTTCCCAGAGGCAAGGCGCTCCGTTTCGGAGCAGCCCCGTCCCCACACCCGTGCCCGGCTGTGCAGCCCTGCCAAAGGGAGGTCACAGCCGGCGTCTCTGGCTAACGACAGGGCAACTCCTGGGCAAAATCATCTTCCCAACGTGAGAAGAACCCAGGAATATTGGTCCCTGCAATTCTAAACTCCTACAGTAAACTAAACTAAACCAAGTGGCTCGCAGGGCACTCCTTGCTCTCACTTGGTGCATGTACACACAATGTATTACTGCTTTAGCACAGACATGCACCTGGGTTAGCAGCCCAAGTTCAAATCCTGTTGATGAACCATGTAAGAGAGACGTTTTTTACATGCTGCTTACTTTTTCCTGGCACTGCTTCAGAAAAAAAAAATAAAACAATGGAGTTACTTTGACTACAAGGGAGTCAAATACCCGCTAAAAGCAGTGGAGAACATTATCTAAGACTGTGATGGTAGATGGCAAAGAACATGGACATTACAGGCTGCAGCTTTTTGTTGCACGTTTTAGTTGGCAGTGTTGCACACGAGTGGATTGGAAGGCTGAAGTYGGGCCTTGTGAACATCCCTCACGGGAGGACTGTACTGGTGTTAAAAGAACAAGGAAGCAAAATCCTGGTTCCTTTGGGGGGAAACAGGCATTATATTGGCTAATAAACACAAGTGATTTAAAATGGAAGCCCTAGGGAATTGGGATATTTTGTGGGAAAAAAGTCCCAGTGCCCATGTCCATGAAATTCCCTTGAAAATTCTCACTGGTATCTAGAAGGTAAACTCTTTCATTTAGATGAGAATTAGACCACTGTTACAAATTCCTGTCTGGATTCTGTTCCTGATCCCTTGTATGTGCAAGAAATGAGTCTTAAGTCAATTCTTAATTCTTAAGCCAGGGCAGAAGAAAGCAGATTTAAACTGAGGTGAGACCGAAATGGAAGGACAAAAGAAAGGATAGAAAATTTGGGGCAATCACTGTAGTGCAGAAAGASATGCAGATGGGGTATAATGGCAACCAGCTCATGATGCTTTCCTGTTTTCAGATACGGCTTCACAAGAGAAGTTTTGAGGAAGTATAGGGTAAGATTCCTCCTCTGTCCTCTTTCTTTTCCTCTCAGCATTGCACTTGTGAAAGTGAAACCTATCTAAGCAAGGGAGATTCCCACCAGTCTATATAGGTGCAGTGCAGGGTTATTTTAGGAAGGTAGTTAAAAGTATCTTGGATTTTCAGTGGAATAACTGTCAACACAGTTACAAAGTTAGCCTTTTATGCTCAGAAATCTATGCTGTAATATAAAAAACATGCATAGGGCCACTTAGGCACRAAGAGAAAATAAAAAAAAAGAAATGAAATGAAATGCTCTAGGTACAACCAAGCAGTTCTTAAAGGAAATTTCAGATCATGTTTGTCGATGTTGCAGTTCTGGGTGTTTCACAGATGAGTGGAACTGTTCAGACAGCTGCAAGCACATTGAAAAAACCTTGAACTTAGAAGCAACAGGACCTGCCAAAAATAGGATCTGACTTTAAAAAGTTTATTTTACAGGTCCAYGGGAAAGTAATCCTGTATCTTTTGGAAGATGTCTTTAGCTGGCTTCCCCTCGCCACTGTAGTTGATAGCAAAGTTCTCATCCTACACGGAGGCATTTCGGACACCACCGATTTGGATTTCCTGAATTTGTTTGAGAGAAGCAAGGTAAGAGAGCACGTTCATGTGGGGTTACTTCTGTCTTCTTTAAAGAATTTAGCAGCATAATGCGAAGGTGTTTGCATTAGGAAAGGAAATGGATCCAAGGTAGAACACGCAGGGAAARAAGTCTTCTTCTTCAGTCTGTAGAAAGCAAGGATTCAGAGCTGTTGCRAGGCAAATCTTTGGCTACTGACAAAAAACATGGGTCTCTTGACTTCAAAGTAGTTATAAAACTCTTCAGACGCCTCCTTCCCCCAGTGATGACACATTAATGAGGGAGTATGAAAACTCCTGCGCGCTCAGGCATTCCTGGGCTCCAGCCTCGCCAGCTGCTGAGCTCTGCCACGTGCCTGCGGCTCCGCTCCTGCTGCCCGCTCCGCGTGGGAGCGCTCCCGCTGGGCGGGCCCTCYGCCGCGCGCAGGAGCCTTCCCAGCAGGATCGGCACGTGCAGCGCGGCCTCGGGAAAGCAGAGGCCACTGCTCGTCAGCACGTGGGGAGATCAGTGCAGGCTCTCTCAAGTGGTGAACAGGGAGAGTTCTTTCAGACCAGTGGGAAATGGTGGATGATTCGGTCCTGAAGAGCTGGACGACTAAACTGACCTGTCTGCGTGTGAGCGGGGCACTTAGGCTCCTCATAAACAGTGGASACCAGAAAATCCACTGGCAATCCAGGGCTTATCGTTGCCCAAACAGCTGGGCGATGGCCAGTGTTTTTGATGGAGGCACTTGGTGGCCTTGGGATGTCCTGGTCTGGTCTTGCTCAGAGGTCTTTGCCAGAGGTTTCCTGCAGGTCCAGCTCCTATCTGCCCACCTCATGCTAATGTCTCAGGTATAATAGAGCAGCTCAAATTGCACACACACACACACACACACAAAAAAAAAGAGGTATTGTTAGAAAATATCAAGAGGGAAAAAAAGATACTTCTGGAGTCTGTGTTAATGGGTATTCACAGAGCCATAGTGCCCAGCTCCAGGAGAGTAAATGTCCATATGTACTGAAGGTGGTGGTTGGGTTTATTTAACAATAAAGGGCCTGAGGCAAAACTTGATGAAATTCACTGTTATCCTGCTCATAATCCATTAATTTCAGCTGAACAAACCTAGCAGATTACTCCTGGATAAAAGCCCTGACTGTCCTTTGACTGTCAGTGTGACATACAGGGATATTTTGAGTTTCCAGTGAAGCTGGGCACTAACCCATCTGCTTGTGTTTGTGGCTTGTGATGATGCCTGTATCTTACTAAGAGCATGAGAGTAGTTCTGGAGAGGCTGATTGCTCAYATCACGTATTTATATTTGTAAGGCAAAATTGCTCCAAGGGCTAAACACCAGCAAGTCCCAACAAACCTGTGAGATCAGGGCATTACAGGAGTTAAATACTGAGTAGAATTACATCCTGAGTGCAAGCAAGGGCAGCATGATGTGCTTTTCACCTGCCTTCTCTGCATCACTAGGAATAGGACTAGAGGAAATGGCCACAAGCTGAGGCACCAAAAGTTCCACAGGAACTTAAGAAAACACTTCTTGACAGTGAGGGTGCCAGAGCCCTGGCACAGGCTGCCCAGAGAGGTTGTGGAGTCTCCTTCTCTGGAGATCTTCCCAATCCGCTTGGATGCAGCCCTGTGCCACATGCTCTGGGTGACCCTGTGTGAGCAGGGGGGTTGGACTAGATGACCTCTGAGGTCCCTTCCAACCTTAAGCATTCTGTGATTCTMTGATCACCTTTATGCTCTGATTCACATTCAATATTTTGTTTTTCAAGGTGAAGTCTTTGATGCGGCCACCCAGGTCCGTTCTAGACATGAGGCTTCAAGTGAAGGAGAAAGGCCCCAGCAGCAGCACGCCCAGTAAGCACAGAGCCCATCAGGGCGCTTCAGAGAGGAGGAGAGACCAGTCATCGTCCGGGGCCAGCCCGAGGAGGGACGTCTCCCCCTCCGGCGCGGCCGCCCGAGAGCCCCAGAGGCCGGTGCGGGCCGGCGCGAGCCCCGGCCTCCCCTCTGAGGCTGTGGGGCCTCACGAAGAAGACTCCTCTCGAGATCCCACCCAGAAGGAATGGCAACAGGTATGGGACACGGGCCTGGTCACGGCGGGTGCCGTACCAGGCACTCTCATAGAGAGTGGCACAGGTGACACACAGGTGTGTGGCACAGGTGGCACACACGAAATGGGAGCTGCCCCGTGCAGAGGGTGTGGGCCAGAGCCAGCCTCTGTCCCTCTGGACAAGAAACCCGTCATAAACCCATCATTCTCAGCAGGATGCTACTCAGCCATTAAGTATTTGCATATTTTTTTGTAGACCTAATGCTAGRAAGGGCATAATAAGGGCATGTGATTTTTAATGCCTTCCAAGTACACACAGTTTAAAGTATGTTTTTCTTAGCTAATAGGATAGGAGGAAGAAACTGCTCAGCATGAGATGTGGTGGCATGCCCTCGTGTCGTTGCACATCTTGGAACATAGGTGGCTGTCAGTTGAAATAGGCCAGACTTTGCTGTTTTATTTTATTTTATTTTATTTTATTTTATTTTATTTTATTTTATTTTATTTTATTTTATTTTATTTTATTTTATTTTATTTTATTTTATTTTATTTTATTTTATTTTATTTTATTTTAYTGTGGTTTTAGCAACTGAATGCTGCTGATATCCTACAAAATTGAGCTCCTGAGACATATAGACTGATTGTTGAGAGAGGGAAGTTTTTGTCCTTCTGTGCAAATTTGAGTTTCTCTCCCGACAGCTGCTTTAAGAGGTAGTCGTCRTGTTTTGCTTCTTGAGAAGCCAGCCTCTCTCTGAAAATGCAATTTCCCAAGATAGGCATCTGACCTAGAAACGAATGTCATGGACACGAGCAGACTCCCAAATCTGGCACTCCCCCAGGTAGCCAAGTTTCCACAGAGCCCGGCCTGCAAATGGGAAGCAGAACAGGTCACCTTAAACCTTTTCCAGTGATGTTTAAACAAAGCGCCTCTGGCCTCGGCTTTGCTGCTGAGATGAAAYCCTGCCTGATGCCTGAATCCTGCTGGTGGCAAAAGCTGGTTTTGAAACATGAGCTCCCCAAAGACAGGAAAATCAAAGACAAATACTGTCATGTTTAGAGCAGCCATTCCCATAGCTATGGGGGAAACCCACATAGTTATCACACGCTAGGAAATAGGAAATGGCTTTTGCACCAACAAGCACCATCAGCTTTCAAAGTAGCTTTCCTGTGTATCTTTCCTGCTGCAGAAATCTTGGCTATAAAAGGAGGTGTATTTCTGATAATAGTTTGTGTGAAGAAGTTATTGCAAAATTTAGATAGTGTTTCTTAAAAGTGTAAAAGTAAAGCAAAAGTTTCAGGCTAAAACAATGTCCTGCTGAGGAAGCGGGTGCTGGAGCGATAAACCAGAGCTACTTGTCAGCCACGTTTCTCCCTGCCCTTTGGGACGGTGACTGTGGGCAGTGTTTTACTGTGTGTCCTCACGTGCTGCTCTCCCACAGACCCTTGATATCCTCTGGAGCGACCCGAGGAACCAGAGGGGCTGCATCCCAAACAAGCTGCGCGGAGGGGGCTGCTACTTCGGCCCCGACATCACCGCCAAGTTGTTTGAGAGGTACAACCTGAAGATGCTGATCAGGTCTCACGAGTGTAAGCAGGACGGCTACGAGATCGGTCACGGCGGCAAGGTGAGGTGCTGGGGYGCTGCTCCAAGGGAACTGGGGAAAATGAGGAGCAACCTCCTTAAAACGGGTTTGGGGGAACTGTGCCCTGTGGGCGTAGCGGARTGAACCGTGGTGTTTTGGAAGCAAATGGCTTCAGGACCGCAGGGAGCAGGGACGCACTTCTTACTCGGCTGAAAACAGGTAAACCTGAAATCCCCAAGGACAGCGTGTGTAAATGCAGTCCCATGGACCTGTGGCTCTGGAAGCCTCCACTGCACTGAGCTGCATCTCCTCTGGGTTTTTCTTCTGCCAAGGTGCAGCAGGAGGCCACCACAGAGCCTGACAACCAGGCCTGTCTTAGAGAGGTTTCCCTTGAACAGCGAGTTCTCCTCTGCTGTCTGCAGCGCTTCCTTCCTGGGAGAGTCCAGAGAGGCCTCAGCTCTGATAACCCCAACCCTGCCTTTCWTACCCATTTTGCATATGCATTTTGTAACCTGCACATTCTTCTAAGATCAATTTTAGAAACCCGCCCCTCAAAGAGTTGTTTTAGCCCATCCAGTTTTGGTTTTTTTTCTCTCTTTTTTTTTTTTTTCTCCCCTATAATCAGGTTATCACTATTTTTTCTGCCTCTAACTATTACGAAGATGGGAGCAACCGAGGAGCATACATCAAACTGAATCCTGATCTGATTCCTCGGTTTATACAGTATCAAGTCAGCAGGAACACCTGCAGGCAGAATCTGCAGGAGAGGTGAGGATGCACCCTGTGCGTGCTGTACATCCTGCCCTTGCTGCCCATACTGTCCCTGCAGGTGCACTGAAGGAGTATGTATGCAGCATGCAAGAGTACTTGCCACAAACATAGAGCTTAATTACACTTGAATAGGCACCTATTTTTCTTTTTTACAATGTAACACAGAAGATCAAATGAGTTCTGAGAGCGCTGACTGGTCTCCTGGGAAATTCCCCGAGGCAGTTTAAAGGGATAAGCTGCTACAGCCACCGATTGTTGGGGGCTCTTAAGGTGCCTGTTTCGGTCTGTCAGGTCTGCTTTAAGGCTGCAGCATTAATCTGGAGCAATCCTGTTATGAAGTGAGTCCAAAAAGTTTAGCATTACAGCTTTGCCATGACTGGCACTCTGCTCAGATTTACTAAAGCAAAGCAGCTTAGAATTACCTGCATAAACTTGATTATCTCATAAATCCAGATTATTCTTCTAGGGGTTGGCTTTGTGGGTTTTTTTTTACCTCCCCCAGTGTCATCTTTTCAGGTGATTCTGGAGAGAGGGCTGTTAAAGGATAGCAGAAGGTGATAATGAAAGAAGAAAAAGCAGGAGGCCTGAAATCCTTTAGCATTCCACTCTGCACATTCTCCTCCTAGGATAAACACGGTGGAAGGGGCTGCCTTAAAGGCCTTACGGGAGAAGATCTACGCCAACAAGACTGAGCTCATGGAGGCTTTTATGAGCAAAGATCTCACTGGCGCAGGTAATTCCCGCTCTGCCCAGCGCCAGGCTGGAGGCGGCCGGGCCTCGCTGGCCGCCGTCGCCCCGTCCACACGGCAGGGTAGAGATGTGAGGGGGCAAATAAAGCAGCTTTGTGCTGGCTGCTGGGCAGCGAAGTTGGACAGGCCAATCCGGTTCCGAAGGCTYGGGCTGCCGCCTTCGTGTGGAGCCCCTTCAGTCGGGGGGGAGCTGGGGGCTCCGGTGAAGGGACGTGGCCCCTTCTGAGTTGTTGGCTGTGGCTCGTGCTCACCCAGCAGCTGAGGAGAATCCAGTGATAAATGAAGGTAGGAGGAGCAAAGTGTTGATGACTTCCAGCATAAATACAACCTTTCCTCATGATGGCATCTCCCCTGACAGGGCTGTCACTCGTGCCCCTAAAATGGGCACTCAGTAAGATACTTTTTTTCATTTGGCAGCTAGGCAACGCTCACCATGTTTTTGTCTTGCTGGATTTTCAGCCCAGCCTGTCTCTGTAGCTGCAGCACACTGCACATCTGCAATATTCATTATGGACAGCATTTGTTTTCTCACAATATATTAAAGCAGGTGGGGATGTAGTTGTAGAACCACAAAATTGTTGGAAGGGACCTCTGGAGAGCAGCTGGTCCAACCCCACYGCTCACTGTTTATGTTTTGCAACTGTTCTGAAACCAGCTGGAGAAAGGCTGGTAAGGGAGGGGTCTGTGTCACCCACTCCGTGTAACCACGATCGGCCCCTCCTGGCAGGCAAACTCTCCGTCAGCGACTGGGCCGAGGCCATGGAGTCCGTCCTGCAGCTGGAGCTGCCCTGGCGGACGCTGCGCGCCCAGCTGGCGCGGCTCAGCGCGGACGGGCGCATCGAGTACACCTCCTGCTTCTATGACCTGGAGATAGAGAAGCCTGTGGAGGAGGTAAGGAGGAAAATACCCAAAACACGCCCGTGAGAATCTCRGAGGAAGAGCAGCTGGGGCCGCTTGAAGGCACCGGACAGGGTGGTTGGATTAGCTCGACACCTCCATGTGAACTGGTTGCCTGGCTTCCTTCTCGAGGCAGCGGGGAGGTGGGCACAGCCCCTGCTAAGGCAGAYGCTCAGGACAGGCTGGATGATTCACGTGCTAGTTTTGCTTCTTTCAGTTGCCTCTACAGGGAGCTCAGGAGAKGCAGCCTCCTTCCCAGAGCTCTCAGCCCTCCCTCTTCTGAGAGGAGCTTTTCAAAAGCGTTCAGAGCTATGTCAGGCACCTGTACAAGAGCCACATTTGGAGATGGGCTATTACACGTTTGATGGTAACAAGAGATCTCTTCTACAGAGCCCACTTTTAGCAGAGCAAGTACTCGGAGGGTTGTGTTTAGCTGCCTCTGACCTTCCAAAGCCCAGCAGGACTGGAGCACATAGGGATGGGGAAGCTTTCTGCAAGTGGAGGACATGCAACCCTGGGCCTTTCAACAACTCATCCCAGCAGCTGGGAGGTGCAGAGGGCTCCCTGCACCCACCAYGGCAGCACGGTGAGGGAGGCAGGTTGCAGCCAGTTACTTGTTGAGGGCAAGGCACGAAATACCATTCCTGGGAACACAAGYGTTTTCCTAAGGTTTCACAGCTCCAGCTTTGAGGGGGAGGGAGATACTGTGGTTGCTCAGCCCAAGGTCTGAGTGGGTTTCTGTATGATTTCAACAGCAGGTTCAGCCATCGTTGGTGGAAACACTGTGCAAATACAGAAAGGATCTGGAGATGATCTTTAACTTCATTGATAAGGATCAGTCAGGTAGGTCCAGCTTCCTTTGTAGTAGCAACTCGTGGAGAATGACACTAGTTATCATCAGTGCCCACTGTGTTTCCTCCCCAAGGCTTCTAGATAWAGAGAAATGAGAGATGATGTAATTTTTCTAGCTTAGTGAAGACTAAGCACTGAAACTGCACCTGTGTAAGGGGCAGTGCTCAGAACCCACCTCAAGGCAAAAAGTTTCCACATAACCTGTCTGCAAGGCTGCCTCCCTTCCTCTCGCACTTGAGCTACTGGCTGCTGCCTTAATTCTGAAGGGGAAAGCACCTTGAAGTACTTCAAGCACCGCCTGAAGTAAAAAACAATGTCCTCAGCCATGGAGTGGCAAAACCTGTTCAAAGGCCTGAGGGGTGGGTAGCATCCTCGCCCTGTGGGRACGTGCATGCAGGTAGGCAGGAATGGGAGCAAGCGCTGGAGAAAGCCGCCTGTCCCCTCCTGTGTCCCCCCCCTCCAGGGCTGATTTCCCTTGAGGAATTCCACCACACCTGGAGGCTCTTCTGTGCTCACATGGGCGTCGAAACGGACGACGAAGCCATCATCAAGCTGGCCAACACCATAGACTACAACAAGGACGGCTACATCGACTTCAGTGAATTTTTAGGGGCCTTCCACGTGGTTCATAGACTAGACAAAGGCAAGTGAATGACGGGGCAGAACATCTTGTGAGTTCCTGCTGGAGGCTCTGCTTGCCTCTCACACRAGGCACGGGGCACTTGGGAAGCCCCTTTCCAGACTGGCAAACGACGACTGGGCTGCTTGATGGGGTAAGATTGATAAATACATGGGCTGGAACCAACAAAAGCATCGTGCTCACTGTGTAAGCCTTTATTTAGTCCCTTCTGTGTGACACACACCTGCTCRTAATGCCACAGAGGAGATGAGAACCAGCATTACTAACAGTGTTACAGCATCCCTGCCACAGCTGCATGTTACCCTTTATCCTCACYCTGTGACCTGCCTGGGAACAGTGCTGGACCTTAGCGTGAGAGAAACCCTGGTATGTTTTCCTTAGAAATCATGGAGGAAGTGTCCTGGTTACCACAAGGACCGTGCCAGCCAGACTAATAATATGGGATTCTAACAAAGCTTAAGCAGCCTTCTGTGGACTAACCAATCTAGGAGGGGAAAGACAGGGAAAAAAGAAACAGCTAGTTAAAACATATAGTTCTGCATTTAACCTTTCTCTTTGCATGATGCAGTGACACTGAGCAGCCCAGGCCACTACCCCTCCTCTCTGAAGTTTACAGACACAAATCTAAAGGTTACTCTCTTAAAAGTGTTTACACGTGGTAACAGGATCTATCCTCTGGCCACCGGTTACTCCTGCCTGCCTTTGTGGGGGTTTGCTCTAACCCCTGGTCTTAATGAATGCTAATTCCARAGCATGTTATCTTAACACGACAGATAACACAAAATAAAGCTTTAGCTTTCACCATAATGGTTAAAAAAGCAGTGTCCTTTTGTATTTTAGTATCCTACATATATTACAGTAAAACACTGCTTTCCCACCCGCCCCAGAACGTCAACGGGATTTCCTCCAAACAAAGAGCCAAGCAAGAACACAAAAGTAAAGAGATGTCAGTACTCCTGAATGTAAAGTCAAGCCTAACGCCTTTGATGTTGTCAAGCACAGGAAGCTGCTGTACACGGGCCTGTAAGTGCCGGCCCTCCCTGCTCCCGAGGGAGCTCCAGCCCCGCTCCTGCGCCCGGCTCCCAGACCAGCACCCTGCTGCAGGCTCTGACCGGGCGCGTGACCGCAAAGGATCAAGTGCTTTTGGGTGGGGAAACATCCCCTGAATCACAAGTGAAGAGCTGTGGTGTATTCAMGAATAACAGTTTTTAAAGTACAAAAATAGCACCTTTCCTACTTGGTCCCCACAGCCTGTAAAGGTGGTCTGTATTGAAGGTGCTGTGCTCCTATTCTTTATTTAAATCACTTAGACTTTGTTCCAGTAATATCCTGAACAAACACACATGCACTTTTACTGGAAAGAGAGGAGAARACTCTTTATGAGCACAAGCCTAGAGCCTGGAGTAACGTTTTAGCAGCACTGGTGCTGTTGAGTGGATGGCTCTAGCAGGCAGCTATTGGGCTCCGTGCCCGGAGGACACTTCCCTCCCTACTCCATGGGGCCACCAGAGGGAAGCTGCTCCYGGCCTGGCTGCCCCACACGGTGCTTGGCGAGATCTCACTGCCCTGCTCCTCGCTGGGGAGCAGCCCAAGGTGGAGGGCACAGCGCAACTTGGAGCCCTTTCCCACAGCCCCCCATTCCCTGCAAAGCGCGAGGGCAAAACCGGGGTGCGCAGCAAGAGGTGGGAGCTCAGGAACCTCCCGCTCCATGTCCCCTTCCCACAAGGCGCTCCTGAAGCTGCCATTGAATTAATTGGAAGGCTGCTCGCCTTGAGGGACCCTTCCTGAGCTAAAGGTAAGGGTGTAACCCAGGGCTTTGCTTAGCAAGCATCAAGAGCAGGGAAGGATGGGAGGGCCGGAGTCAAACAGGCACGGAAAGGAGGAGGAAGAGAAAGATGGCCCTGCCTGGCAGCCATTACAGGCCCACAAGAGGCTACGGCGGGGACTGTAACATGTACTGCCAGCAATAACCATCACCTAGAACTAAAGCTGCAGAACTAAAGCTCAAGTGAGCCACACTCACTGAGCAACCCCACTGCTGGCCTGGGTTTCCAGCTGCTTAATAAACACATGTGGATCACGCATGTGGATCCTCAACCCATGGGGAGCTCCCGTGGGCCCCACAGGGGCTGCACCTGAACCCTTASCTGCCGAACCAGGTCGGCACGGGCTGTGGTTCCAGGGTGCTCCTGCGTGAGGGGCAGCGCGGCAGCGGGAGCAGCAGGGCCCGGCCCGGCGGCAGAACGGGCTCTGCTTCCCCTCCCGGCGCTCCAGGTCCCATCCGCATCCACTGCCCTCCTAGCCGAACTCCTCAGGGCACCAGGCAGGGGGTTTCAGGTGCCTGAAGATCTGAGAAAGTGGGAGAAAAATAACCCTAAGAAGCACTGTTTCAGGGCAGCATCTCATTAATAAGCTAGGCCATGGTATGACTTTCAATTTGAAGAGGCTCAATGCTGCCCCCATTAAAAAAATATACAGTCAAARGTGAGTATGTATGCGTTGCTGTGGGCTGCAAACCACTGTCTTAGACCCGAATGCAGCCTAAATCTAAAACCAGCCATTTTAACCGTGCTTCTTGTTTCTGAAAAATTCTACTTTAGGACTTTGTGCTACAGGAATAATAAAGTAAGTCTGAGGGAAAATTATCTTGCATGTCTCAAAAAAGGAGTCCATGAGAAACGCAAAAACACCTGCATCCCCACACTTCACATAATGCTGACTAGGACAGGAAACTGCCACACACGCTTTGGTGTGCTTGGGCTTGGTGTGCAAGCCTCGTCYCTTTATACTATATGAATGATTTTACTTCTTTAACTTACTGGTAAACAATCTAAGCGATCTCTCAGATTACATAAATACCCTAWGAAGTGTAATGAAAGCAAAACTACACAAAGGCACAGCACCAATAAAGCACCTTCCACGCCCAAGTGTATTAGTCATATATGAACCATATTTTATAATGAGCATCCCAAGAGGTCTGCGGTTCTCATGGTGGTGGACACAGTACCTGTCTCACTGAGAGCGTAAGTGCACCCAGTGCATTAGGATCCAGTGCGTACTGCACATACGTGTCCATGCAGAGAACCGAGCACGCTGCTCCTTTCCTAGAGCAGCCCACGTTCTCTGGGAACCCACGCTGTGCCCCCCGAGCTCCCGCACCTCCAGCGCTGCCCTCGCTCCCCAGGGCGCCCGGATGTTGCGAGGGCAGCGCCAGCTCCACACGAGGCAGGAGGGCCTCCCGGACACCCTCCCGCGAGCCTCTGCAGTGGAGGCCCCAGGTGCCTCGACACCTCACGCGCCCTTCGCCTGCCAGCCAGACCCGCTCCGACCCTCTGCGCCCAGAGCAGCCGTGTCCGTGCCCCTAACGCTACTGAATGGGGCCTCAGCAGGCATCAAAACCACAGCCCACGTCAAAGGCAGAATGTCCGTAGGCTGTCACACCAGTTCTGTGCGGTGGCAGTGCCAGTAAAAGTGGGACACCACAGCTGGGGCCTCTCCCTTCCATAGGCTGCCTACCTTTGCTTCCAGCTTAACTGGCCACAGAGCCATTTCCCTGCAGGACATTCCCCCATGTCTCCTTACAGTGGAGAAGGGTCATCCTCCCGCCGGATCCATGGCGCGGGGAGGGCTCTGCAGTGCTGCACCCGCTGCACCCGCTGCGGGATGAGTCTGTGCAGGCTGCACGCGGGGCAGCCGCGACCGCCGCCCTCCRGCTTCTCACCGGAGCGCCTCCCCAAACCGCCTCTCACCGGCATCCTCGGGGGAAGAGGCAAAAGAAGCAAAACGAAAGGAATAAACCCACGGACACCTCCCAGAAATCCAGCACATGCTGCAGGGGCGGAAACTACACTGCTCTTGACTCTGAGACTCCCCACGACGGGAAGGGCTCAGGACTTGATATGGACATTTGAGGGGAGGAGGTTTGTCCTTCTCCTTTCAGGGGGGAGAATCACAGGCAGGAGGTCACCTGTCCCCTGGCAGAAGCTGCAGCCTGAGGTTTTGGCTCCAAAGTTTGGGGGGTGCAGGGAGGGAAGTAATTTTCTTCATATTAAAAAGAGAGAAACAAACAGCTTCCTTAGTCAATAGTCTCTCTCAAATTGGTGGGTAGTGCAAGACATTTCTCTCCACTGGTGCAAGCCCTGCACTACACAGGTGCAAATGAGATGAGAACCAGGATAAACCTGTATGAAACTATTACCTGTTTATTTCAAGTTATTCCTCTTTCTTTAATTTACATGTCCCTGGCTTATTTGCACTGTGCATTAGTGATTCACAATGATGCAGGTTTACAGACAGCAGGAGAAAAACTAATGATTTCCACTACATTCCTTATTGGAGAGGCTTCATGCCTGAAATACAGCTCCCTCATTATGCCTTTTCATCCCCACAGTCTCCTCTCTCTTCCTGCTGGCACAGCAGCATCGTTCTTGCTGATTTGATCTGAATTGCACCTATGCACGATAGGCAGAACAGGCCTCGGTGCGTGTTGGTTTCCCACGTGCTCCCTCGGAACGAGGCCGAATCCCAGGTACCTGCCTGGTGCGGGCAGGGGCCGCGGGCTGAGCAGTGTTGGTGCCGAGGGAGAGCCCGGACCCACGCGCAGCAGCTGAGCCAGAGGCTCGTGCYGGCGCACGCGGAGAGCGAGCCGGGCTCTCCCTTCCTCCCTCCCTCCCTCCCAGGGCAGCGCCTACTGCATGGTGCAGGCTGTGCTGGGCAGGAAGTCCTGCAAGTAGGTCATGATGGCTTTTGTCAGGTAAGTCATCGTTCCGTAGGCCCCACTCGGAGCGCTGTCATAGAAGAAGTGGCAAATCCCCGTGGCTACGTCCTTCTCCAGGATGTAATCTGCAGCTCCAAACGATTTCTGTAAAGACACAAAGAACGAAGCAGGGGAAAATTTAGTATCTATGCTTATTTATCAAGTAAGAACCTCCTGGTGAGCGTTCTCTATTTGTGCAGGTAATCCCCCCTTTCCTCAGGATTCCTGGACACGGCTTTCCAGCACCGCACTCCGAACTCACCTGTTCCTGCAGGAACAGGTCGTTGGCCATGTGCACGATGCGGTCCACGTGGACGATGCCCCCGATGCTGTTGACCTCAACGTCGCAGAGGAAGGTCAGGACGAGGATGGCCTCCACCAGGAGCTGCCGGTACTCGGGCTGCGACACGCGGTTCAGCACCGACTCCACGTGCACGGCAAACTTGATCTCGCACGGGGTCATCTGGCGGCCGGGCACGCAAACAGAAAGGAAAACTGACACTTCCAAAGCACCAGCTTCCCATGCCCTCCAAACACTTGGGCACACGCTCCCCTTCGCACACCGGGGCGGCCGGACTGAAGCCAGCAACAAGTCTGCGAGGCCTCGTGCCTAGAGGGACTTGTCGTGTCACCAGATCCTGCAAACTTGTTGTGCAACTTCCCCCAAACTGCTGCAGCCCCACAACCCATCACACACACACGGTTTAGTTGCATGCAGGAACAGTGATGCTTAGCGTGCAAATGAACTCCTTGCTTCGAACGCAACAACAGCCTCATGCAGTCTCTCTTCAAACCATCTTTCTGGCACTGCARGTTGGCTGCAAAGCCAAAATTACTTTGGTGATTCAGAAAGAGCCATGTGCCTAAAATAAGCGCTGCTTCACACTGAGCTATAGCCACGCTGTTTGCAGAGCAACCTAATTTGCACTGGCAGAGCTGTGTGGATGCTACGTGAAATGCTGACGCCCTAGGAGGTTTGTGCTTATTTAGTCTGATTCTTTCACACAGTAAAATTAGACACTGTGTGGGTCTGGCAGACTTAAAATATAAGCCTGGTTATCTACACAATAGGAATAAAGTTCTCCATTCTGAAAAATAAGGTTGAAATTTGGTAGAAAAATTCCAGCTCTTCTCTTCAGCTCTTACCACCCTCTCAGAGAMGAGGGAAGCCAGAGATGCCGAGGGGAAGGAAGGCTCAGGCTCACAAGCACCTTTCTTTTGCCCGTGATTACCGTTCACGGGAGTTGCCTGTTACACAGACATGAATTTTAAATTTGCCAGAATGCCTAAAGACAGCGTCAATCCAACAAAGGAAAGGGTATGGATTTAAAGAGTCAAGGCTTTGGTCAGTCTCCCTTAATTGGCATTTTCTTTGGAGACTGATGTCAGAATTCCCTGGCTGCACTTGCAGCACTGCAAGGGGAGAGCAGTGAGGCAGCAGAGACTGCTCCTCTCCACCACAGCAGAGTCTTTCCTCCCTCTGCCTTGAACGATGGCATCAGCAGCCCTCTTCCCTGCCCAGCGTGCCCAGGGACCCCGGCCCCTGCTTCAAATGCTCTTAAAACCAAGGGGCTGCAGCAACAGCCCCGCTGCACCTTTATGCTGTAAAATCAAGCATTCAACCAGCTGGCTACAAAAGCCATTTCGCTGTGTTTTACTGTACCTCTCTGGTAGTTGAGGAAGGGAGGACATATCCATCGATGGACAGGCCATGGCACTGAAACGAAACATTCAGACAATAAACAGGATTCCCGCTAGTCAACCCGAGCTCCTTCTGAACCAGGCCAACTTTTCTCATAGAAAGGCTGATCTTTGAAATGTAGCCATTTTCAGTTAAAAAAAAAAAAAAAAAAAAAAAGGCAAATGAAAAATTACTCTTAAAAATCTTTTTTTGCCTTTGCTGAAAAATTCATCAGGCACCCAGTTATTCTGCAATCAGGTGGATAGTTTAAATAACCTGTATAAATAACCTTACATGGCCCCTTGGCAGTGCCCTTCCAGCCTAGCTAATGAAGGGGAGCAAAGAACTTGGGCAGGCACTACTGCCAAAGGCACCCAAGAGCTGAAGGCCAGCAAGGAGAACACTGGRAAAGGATGGAAAAATAAACACAAAAACACAAAAGCATGACCACAGACTACCTAAGGAGAAGCTTTATTTCTTATTTTGGCTAGCACAAGAACTTCTTTCAGTGTTTGAGATTCAGGGCGCCACTAGCACGCGAGAAGGGCTGCCAAAACAAACGGCCAGAAGGCAGGCAGAGGGCTGGCCCGTGTCGGTGTCTGAGGTACAAGAACGTACCAAGGAAACAAGGGCACTTCCATGAATAAGCCAAAGAAATTAGGAACAAAAGACTGAGGACAATTTAAGCAAGTGTAATTCATAGCCAGCAAAGCACTCAATCCTCCCAGCAAAAACAGGAGGTCAGGACAGGAGCAAGGCTCCCTACCCTGAAAGCCCCCCCAGTAAATCCAGCAGCTAAACGTAACTTGTTTGCTGCAATCCACACCAGCAGCTTCCACCCAAGGCTCGCTAAAAGCAGAGCCAGCAGCAGCTGGAGAGGCAGATCCTCCTTCCAGACACAAACAGCCCGGTGCTGCCAGGTGCACATTACCAATGGGAATGTGCGCGTTGAATTCCAGCGTCCGTGGGGGCCGCCCCCAGCTCCAGGGACACRGCAGCTCCGCAGCCCCCTCGCCGTGACCCTGCAGCTCCCCGCTGCCCCGGGGGGCCGCTCACCTTCTGGAGGATCTTCCAGACCTTCTCGTAGAAGCCGACGGGAACTCTGTTGATGGCGCCGTCAAGCCTCCTGCGGCGGAGCCACTGCCCCTGGCGGCTGCGCCCGCCGTCGCCCTCCGAGCCCGTGGGAGAGGAGCTGCTGGGCGACGACGGGGTGCTGCCCCTCTGCAAGACACACGGAGGCCTCCCTAAGCTACGCTTTTTGACCTTCCTTYTATATCCGTTTGCTTATTTTTACAGCCACTAGTGCCTCTCCTGCAGGCGAAAGCCTTCTGTCCCTTCAGTAGAGATCTGAAATCTCAGGCATAAAGTCACTGAGGTTTCTCTGGGCAAAAACTTTTAGCAATCACCTTCATTCTTAAAACTGAAAGCTGAGGAGGAGCATCAGCTCTCTGCCTTAAAAGAAGCAGACTACTGGGGAAGACACCCRTGGCCTTAATACCCCATCCTTGCAATCCGGAGCAGTGTCAGGTTCGTTACTGTCCAGAGGCCTCCAGTGGCACGTTGCCTTGAACAGCAGTGACACAGGCCACCATCAAGCAGCTGGACCTGCTGCACYGCTCCCTCTGCTACCCCTGCCCAGCCTTCAGAAATGATATGGCTCTGAATGTAAGACTCTGAGCTTCTACTGAAACACAGGTAAGGCCTCACTCCCAGCGAGGGCRAACTGAATAAAGAAATTATGTCTGAAAACGGGTTTTTAGGCAGGAGAAGCCACACGAAGCGTTTAGACCCAAGGGTCTTTCCCACAGTGGAGAAAAGGTGCACGTTTTCAAGTGGAATTTTACCATGGACTTGGAAGCCACCATGCTGCTGGCCGCAGGGGTGCCCTCGTGGAGGAGCTAGGAAACAGAAAGAGACAGGGACGAGTCAGCCGGGCGACGCGGCAGGGCAGGACACGAGCAGCCACAGGGCAAGGAGCAGCATGGAGCGGGCGCCGCTCCCGCAGGGAGGCTCCGAGCCCCTCGCGCTGCTGCCGGCACCTGCTTCCCAGGCTCGCCCAGCTGCCCACACCGTCTACCCAGCTCCGATTCACTGCGGGGGGGAAAACACTGCAGTTTTCCACCTCTGTTCACCCTCTGCCACAGCGTCAGCAGCTTCTGCTTGYCCCCTCCACGTGGGGGGCAGTGCAGGGCAAGGAGCTGCAAGGCAGGATTTCCACGGCCGTGCAGATGTGTCACCTCCCACAGGAGSTGCCTTCTGCAGCTGCCCCCTCACCGCTTGCCCCACAACTGAACGTTAGCTGATCTCGCTGGCCATCCAGGGAAACGCTTCATTTTACCTGCCCAGAACAGCCACRGGAACTGGAGAGCTGGAGGCATCGTCTTATCAGCTCTGGTACAAACAGATGCTGGTAACAGATGTTGGCRCAAGTACTTGAGAGGCTCCTTATGTCACTCAGATGAACCTTCTTCCCCCCACTAACATGCCACTGAATTAGTAGTTAGTGAATTATTCAGCCCRCAGCGAGGCCTGGTGGGAGGCGGCACGGATGGAAAGATGGGGGAGAGCAAAGCAAAAGGAGCGAGCTCCTCTGCTCAGCAAAAACRTCTGATGACGTTTTTGAGCGAGAGGAAAGGCCTCTCCAAGCCCAAAACGCTCCCAGGGGCTGGTGGCTCAGGCTGCCTCCGCATTTATCCAAAGCAGCGCTGCCACCTAGCGCCACATCCGCCCTGCTCCCTGGAAAGGGCGTCAGATCCAGCTCCCCACACGTCAGATCCAGCTCCCCACACGTCAGATCCAGCTCCCCACGCCACGCTGGGGTCTGGAAGCGAGCCCGCAAGGAGCAGCTTTCCCCTTGGGTCCACACCATGTACCGAGCCACCAGGCAACCTTGGGGTCAGTGTCCAAAGGGGCTGCTCTTAAGAAATGCTGCCCCATTTTACAAGCTTTACAAGCTTTGAAAGCTTTACAAGAAATCTGTTCCACAGAGTCAAAGGAAAACAACACATCCATCGTTAGGGATTTCTGGGAATGCCCTCACGTGAAACGGAAGCTTGTGTCTTAAGCTCTCAGGAGAGACAGTCTTATTGAATAGCACTTAATTCTTACAAAAATACCTCGCTCTGATTGTTACCTTTGTWTTTACCTACAGCACATAAAATTGCTAATGGAAACAAACCAAACACAGGAATCACCAGACAGRTTCTTTCAAAATACTTGGGGATGTGTTTTGTAGAGTGTCTCTGAACACCCTCAGTGAGTGTGTAACTTCAAGTACTGGATATGTTCAAAAATGCTCTAGCAGTAAAGCAGTAATCATCCCTCCATCCAGTCTTAAAAAAAAGCTGTCTAATACTTCCTTTCTTTAAGTGTATCTTTCCCTAGTGGCACGTAGACTGTATTGCAGAATCACACAGAGTACAGGAATGAACACTTGAAGGCTGCTCTTTGTAAATCTGACTTTTCTTAGCCAAAGATGATAAAAAAAGGAGTTTTAATTTGATGCCAAGAATGTATTAGAGGCCACTCATATTCCTTTATATTCAGAATGTGAAACAAGAACAGAAAAGGAAATACATTCCCTCTTCCCTATATTAAGTGATCAGCTTTAAATCAAATGATCTTTAGAAGTTTTTGATTTACCAAAAATCTAAGTAGCACTAAAAATAGTCTGATGAAATTAACATGTACAAATCCTGCCCCAGGGGGAAAAAAAAAAGAAAAAAAAAAAGAAAAAAAAAAGAAAAAAACAAAAGAAAAAGGAATTCTATAAACAGTCATGCTTTCTGATAAACTCATTAACAGAAACCCCTCACCTGCTTCATCTCACTCTTCAGTTTAGTAATACCACTTCTTTCTGTTTTGGTTGCTCCAGAATGTCCCATTTCATGAATAGAAATTGCAGGGCTTGATGAAGAGGAATCTACGGGTCTCACTAGAAGAAGCAAATGGACATTTTTAGAATGCTAGAGGTGGGCAGATGAGGATAAAAACATAAATAAATAAAAAAAAAAGGTGCATCCTTTTCTGTAGGGTGCAATCATCTTGGTGAAAGCACCCATTTAAATCGTAAGTCATTGCTTCCAAGATAACCAGGCCAGGTTAAGTGCCTAAATCCACACTTGGGTATTGGGTAGCCTTTTCCAAGGCACTGAGCAGCTGCAGCCCCATACGGCCCCAGAGATGCAATGAGTCTGTGAGAGCCAGACAAGGAGCCCTGGGGCAGCTGCAGGGCAGCCAGGCACCCCTGGGGTCACAGACCTGCTCCCTGCAGCCAGGTTACACAGGCCCTTCTTGTGCTTCTCAGTCTGCTCACACTAAGGCTTTTTGTTTCCAGTTTGCATTCGTATCACTGAAAACCTGAGGCACTCGGTTTCAGCAGAAGGCAGCTTTCATCAAACACGTGTGCTTTGTACACAAAGATGTGTACCTTTTTGTTTAACATATTACCTATATGTATTTCACRTGACCGGAGAGCATTTTGTGCTTAACAAGACAATCTCAACTTGCATTTGCATTGCTTGCATAACATATACAAGTACTCAAATGGACAACTCACAGCTTCTTTCCACGCCAAACTCTTTCCCGCTCAGAATATGGTGTAGGAGATTTTTCATATCRAAGGGGCTTAGATTCATCAAACTCTCCGAAGCTTCTTCACCTAGTTAAGGAATAAAAGAAAGAAAGAAAAAAAGAAAAATATTGCTATAGATTGAGTAAAAATGGCAAGAATTTTGAACTATCAGGGCTCAAACATTCAAAGATACCCAGGAGCCTAATTCTCACTCACAATCACAGCACTGGATCACTGACTACATACACATATAATTTCATGACCCAGACATCAAACACTAAAAGCTGGGAGGACTTAAGAAAAAGCATGTGGGGGTGTATGTGGGGGTGTGTGTGGGGGTGTGTGTGGGGGTGTGTGTGGGGGTGTGTGTGGGGGCAGTGCCATTAAGTCAAAAAAGAAAATTATTTTCAAGTCTGCAAGCACGTATTGAATTAAGACATTAAAGAAGGAATTTAATGTACACGGAGGAAAAACGGGAGTCGCGGAGGTGAGGCAGCAGCAATGCTGTTGGTGCTGCCTGGGGTGAAACGCCCTTACCTGAGCACTTGAGACTCCGAGCGAGCTCCGTGGCCATCACCTGAATGATGAGCCCGATGCGGAGCCGCAGCATCTCCGCGAAGAGGCTCGGCTGGGAGCGCACGCACATGGCCAAGTACATGATCATCTCCTGTGGGGACAGGTCCGCAGCGGCGCCCGCTCAGGAGCGACGGCGCCGCGGGCGGCCGCGCAAGCAGGGCCACCCTCCTGCGTGCCCCTCAGGGCAGGAAGCCCCGGCCACACGCCGCGTACCTGCGTCAGGACGGCAATGCTGATGTCCTGGCCACTGGCCTCGTAGATGAGATCGATGAGCTCCTCGGGCGGCAGYGGGCTGAAAGAAAGCACCCCACGCTCAGCAGCACCTCAGGCCCTCGCTCCTCACCTCCTCCTCGTGCCCCRGTCCCCCGAGAACGTCCCTGCAGCACAGGCCTTTCCGCCTTGGTGCTCACAAACCCTTCTGAAGGGGAGAAACGGGTTGGAAAACAGGAGGTATCACAGAGGGCCGGGAGGCGGGTGCTCCCAACGGAGAAGGAGCCCCGACTTACGCGGTGATGGTTCTCTCGCGGGGCTCCGGYGGCAGCCCCACCGTCAGCTGCTTGTGGTGTGACAGGAGGTCCGTGCAGGCCTACCAAGGCGACAAAAAGCAAGAGACCCTTCTCTGAGTCAGGTGGCAGTGACGGGTTTTAATTCCAGAAAATGAAGATCAGTAAASGACTTCAACTTTTATCATAAGGATTTCCATTTTAGCTTAGGATAAAATAGGTGGAACAGCACAAATGACTTCTGTGCTCAGCCTCCCCACTTCTTTGTTGATACCCTAATAATTTAACACACGCAACCTTCTGCGAGCACATGTGCACTGCACTGCAGCAAGGCTGTCTGCACAATGTCCTGGGGCTGGAAAAAAGGGTATTCACTTAATGGAACACCACTCATGGCAACCATCACAAGTTGCTGCCCACAGATAAGACCGGTGGTAAAGAGGCCATGCTAAATAGGACAGCCAAAGCTTTGGAGATGGCCAGGAACAGCCAGGGAGTGTCGCTGGGAAATGCACAGGATAAACAGGAGATTAAAGCAGCTGAAAATAAACATTACTTTTGTAATGTTCAAAATCTAACCTATACTTTTACAATTGATCTTTCTTGCTAACCTTAAATAGTTCCAGACATGCTAATGCTGCTGTATCCACATATATTCACACTACAGACTGTAGGCCCAGTGGAACAAGAATGGTCAGATTATGGTCCTGCAGTCTTAAGCATCATAATATATGGGTCCTCAAAAATCCTTATATGCAATAAATACAGTTTTYAAAGCTCATAATTAAGTTTCTGTGAAAATACAGATTAAATGATGCCTTCACAAACATTTACAGCTCAACATTTTCAGTCYGCTCCAGCCTTAGCACAGTTTCAGTATTCATTAAAGGCAGAGATGCTGGGGTAAGACTTCAGATCAGAAAAGCACAGAGGTTTACCAAGAAATGCTGCACCATGCTGTGAGGTAAGACCAGAAGTGGGTGAACACAGGCCCCATTGGAGGTTTTGTCCCTCACATCCCTATACTCTGTTTCCAGGAAGGAAMTGGAACCAGAACTATTCTTTATTTTTGTCCTACCTCAGCCAGGACTTCCACTCTCTTTTTAAGTATACCCGAAATATAACGGATTAAGCCCCACTCTTGGTTGAGGCCTGCCTTTCTGTAGAGCTCGTTGAGCAGACAATGAACAGTGACACCATACTGTCCATTTAGCTGGGTATCCCAATCAGGACCTCTGCCATAAAAGAGAAACAAGATAATTTTCATTAGATAAAACAGACAGGTTTCTAAGGGGTCTTTTATGAAGAAGAGAGAGAGAGAGAGGAGAGAGAGAGAGAGAGAGAGAGAGAGAGAGAGAGAGAGAGAGAGAGAGAAAGCAGGAAGCTTAAAATGCTGCCCTGCCTAAGCCCCAGTGAGCAGGCACTCACTCACACTGACTGCACTGCTCATTCAGGTGACAGACAAAGTACAAGGGCCACGGGGGCCTTCACCAGAAATCAGTCACACGGGCAAATGCTTGATAACAGGAGCTTTGGCACCCCCCTGAGCATTCAGCCCTAAGCCTGAGACTTCAGAGGGACCACCTAGGCTTTAAAATACAGACAGAGATGTCTTGCTGGAGGAATACCCCCCATTCCTCGCTCTTTAAAGGCAGAGTTTGGCAATTTCTTTAGAACCCCTGAAGACTTCACCCATTTCTCACAGGCCCCAAGGGCATCTTTCTCAGCTGCTGACCACACTTTCACACTTCYTACATGACTGACAGTTCCTCCCCTAGTTGTGACATTCACTGCACAASGGCAAGGAAGGTGCTTCTTGGTGACAATGCTCTCCTGTATTTTTGAATGACCTTTCAGCTCTTGGACCCAGTGTCTGGCTGGCCAATGCAGTGAAGCAGGTCCAGAACAGAAAGGTAACGGTGTTACACTTGGTTACAAACCGACATTTTTTTCCAAGCTTTCATTTGCTCTTTAAGAAAAGCTGCTAAAATATTTTGCTCAGGAAAATGAATAATAAAAGCGGAGGTGCTCAGAACAGAAAAACTAATGCAAAAGAACAAATTGTGAAATAATAAAGAAGTCCCCTTGCAGTCAGAACACATKGCTTTTAAATCTAGACTAACCTTCTGCAAGAATCCAGGAGTTTTTATCTAGGGGTAAAAGTTTTTATCCAGGGATAAAAACAAGCAGGAAAGCAAAAGAAATAAGAGCTATACAACAAATACACTTTAGATGATGATTCTGGTGGTTTGTATTTGTATTTGTTCACATCAAACTTGTTTAATCAACAACCCCAGTTGTTGATTACTAGTTTAATTTACTAACCCCAGCAGYTTGGGTTAGACCATTCCCCAAAACTTTAAAGACCAAGGTTTAGCCAATGGGATATTTAAACATATGAGTAGGGACAAAGAGCAACCAGTTAATAAAACTGGGTTTGTGCTTAAAAGTCAGAAGATGCCTAGATAAAGTATCTCTCTGAATACAGCTATTCTGCACTAATTCACTAACTGCATGAAACACACTTCTCTCCTTGTGTACAAAAGTTCACAAAAAATGATGCAATTATTAAGTGCCATAAACATAGCTAAGATGTTCTCCTTCTTGTTGAAGGTTTGTACATTTTACTTGTGATCTTGACAGCCTAAATGTATTTGCAATTGTGGGCCAATCCGCTCACTGAAATTTGAACAAATGTATTCTGCATCCCAAATTGCCTATTTAGCAAGCTACTAGAAGTTATTCCCATTAAAGCACAAACTATTTAAGCCTCTCCCCACCAAACCTGAACCAGTCTGAACAGYTTACCTGAAGCTTTAGCACAAGAATAATCAGATAGCTGTGACCAAACTTCAAGATGTCCAACTTGCTTCTCAGATAACTTACTTGAGTATATGCAGGATATACAAGATATCTGCTTGATCGTGGAGTGTTGGACATTCCTTCAGCTGTTCAACGAGCTTCCTGCAATCCAAATCACCATGAGCATCTTTAGGTAAGTGCAAAATGTTTTCACAAGCCTAATAGCAGAAAAAGACAAAAAAACAAGAAAAAAAAWTATGAAGAAAGTCATACCAAAAGAAAATCAAACCCATAAACTATCCCTTCCCATGAAAGAACACGAGAGACTAYACGATACGACTCTGCACTTGAAATATATCAGCACCAGGTAGTTCTTGTCAGACGGCCACACACAAGAAAATGAGGTTAATCCCAGGAAGTGGAAACACCAGAATGCATCTTTGTCTCTAGTTTTTGTTCAATCAACAAGGAAAGCCATTTCTGGACAAAACTAGATGTTTTGTCAACACAGAAAACCAAATTATTCGCTTATTTTTCCTGTCATATGCTGTTAGTTAAAAATCAGACAGGTATTATTTTTGTTTGTTTGGATTWACAAATGTAGTTGTAATCAGTTCGGTCTCTATGTGAGCTCCCTCTGTGCCCTGTGTATGCAGCCTACACATTTCCACCATTTACCTTTGTCTCCAAACACTGGGGAGTATCAACAAGATTCAGAGACTTCCGGTGCGTGTTCAGAACTTTAGTGGGAAGAGACATAGAAGGGGCTGGAAAGCAAAGCCACCAGAAAATACTTGTTTTAGTAACATGAAAAGGAAACACTCGCTCAGAACAATTATACAGCTGACAACAGAAAAACTTCTCAGAGTCAAAATACACGAGGCCGTGCTTCTGAGATACTGTGTATGGAACTYGAGAGACAAGCTCACGCTCACATTTTTGGTGCCATCTTCTCACAGGCTTCTTCTCAGAATTTTTAAGATCAAAAKGTCCAATCTCAGGCACTACATGCTCAGCTGATGCTCCTTACGAGGACCAAGGACCTAGCCTAGTTAAATGTCTTACATATTTTCATGGAGATTTCTACAGGAGAAAACTAACTGCTGTGGTAACATAGTTGAAAGAGTCTCATGGTAAAGGCAGGCTGATGCTCAGTGGACTTCTTRTGCTGATCATATCTGAGGATTAGGTAATATGAAAACTGATGGAAAAGATTACAATGAAGCTTGAAAATCCATACTATATTTTATTGAGGAGAGAGAAATTGAAGTCCAGTGAAGCTAAGGCAAGTCCTCCCTTAACCAAGGCACTGGATACTACAYACAGACATATGCAGCACTGTATACACTGGGAACTATGGAAGCCCCCAAAATGCACTGACTAAATCTGCAGGTCCTTTAATGAATTTACTAGCATTTTTTTCTTTACTCCATTTCTTCTTTTAGATTCAGGGTACATAAATATATCTACACTTATTTCACCACAGCTTTGCTAAAAGAACAATTTGTCTGCCTTCATATGGTACAAAGAAAGAGGGAAAAATAAAGAAGATAAATCGCTAACACAGATTCTAGAATTACGGCGAGCTGACAAATCACATCAGTGACAAACCAATCTAGCAYCTACCTAAATTAAATATTCTGTGTTTCATTGCAAATTATTTTATATAATCACCATTGGGTTCTAAGGGAATTCTGGAGGAATTCTCATTTCTTTGCAAACACGACATACTTGCCATTACCTCTTTAACAGAAAAAAAAATAAGAGAAGGAAATACATCAATTTAGTCTTACAGTCCCTAGAAGSGGTTTTCTACTGTTATATTAATTTGTTATTACTAAAAAAGCATTAAACAGAAATACCTGGCACCTCCAAACCCTTTGCCTTGGCCATCATGGACAGTATCTCTCGTGTAGAATGGTTTGCAGTGAACACAGGAGGCTGGTCAGCAGTCTTTGAAGTTGGAGGCAGGTATGACTTCAGTGCTGTGCTCTGCAGGACATCATTTATATATCGATCCAGCTCATCTTGGCTGTCTAGTGCGACAAATAAAACAGTTTATTAAAAATAAACATGCATAAAATTAGCATTGCAATCTGCTTCAGACACACTACTCCATTCAGAAGTAGTAGTAGCTTATACGGAAGTACACACAAAAATACAAGAGGATCTTACGGGATTTTTAAGCTGAATAGATTGAAAGGAAAAAAAAAATCCCTTTGGCTTCTTTTCAAAGGGAAAAAATAATTTCCAAGCGTAACTGCTTAAAAGAAAGTCTGTTTTAAACAGGCTTCTTTTTCTCTCTCTGGCAGTCCAAAGATCAGCRCTTCCACACATACTCACACCTGTCTCTGCTTACGCTTTCCTCCTCCCTCCATCCTCTTCCACACACCCCCAGTGTGCTAATTCTTCAGCCAGCTTTCCTGCAGCAGCTACTGGGCAACATCCTATTAGGAACGTGGGAAACGTGCACAAGGGGAAGGTGCCAGGCTCCTCTCCAAAATAAGTCACGTACATACTGTCACCACACTGATGCAAGAGAGACCTGAATGACTATCAGATGTGCACAAAACAGACTCCACATTCCGGTCAAACCCTTACTCTACTGATAACACTTGAAAGAAAAAGATTTGGAAGTGGAAGATCTATTACCCTCTTCACAGAAACGTGGTGGATAGCCTTCATAGCCATAGTCACTGTCAGGGCTGCAACGGCCTTCGTTACGGTCATCAAACAGCTTCACATCACAGTCTGGATCCAGGAAGCTCAGGTGTGTATGGAAAGAGGTAGTAAGAAATTCTGATAGTTTGCCTATTTTCACTCTGCAAACAGGAAAATGCACCAGGGAGTTAACGTCGACCACTTGGATACTGATCACTGAACTCCTTCAAAAATCTACCAGATCAATCCACCTTTGGTAACTAGGCAGAAATAAATTTCAGAATAACACAAAAGCAAAAGCAACACTGCAGGTCCAGCCGGATCCTACTCTGGTTATTAACCTGTGTTACAGCATGCTTAGAGGCCTAACCCAAAGTGTCACCCTGCAAAGCTCTGTATGTTTGAAGAGACACCCTGGGCAGAGACCCGCGTGCCAGGGCTCATACGTGGCAAAAGGGAACTGCAGATTTCAGGACAGCAGCCACTTTTCACAGAACTGCAGTGCTGCTAGGGTGACAAAAAGGCCAYGTGATTGTCAAGGAGAGACACCAGTTAAAGGAGGCGAAAGACGACAGGGAAGCAACACRACATCATTAAACTGAAGATGAATAAAACATATTACATGAAACACATTACAGCACTACATGTAATTCATGCTTAAGAAATTCTGTAATTTTCAAAGATAACCAGTTTCCAAGGTTTGACATTAGCTTCTCATTATTTGCTGATGCCAACCACAGGCAGTACAGTTCTGTGGRAGATACGCTCCTCCCATTGCACCTTAGGTTCAGCTGCCGTTTGATTTCCATATAATAACTACAATCAAAGCTCCTCTCTCTGCACAATGCCTATTTGCTATTCTATGCTTAAACACAGGCTTGCATGGGTATGATTAACAAATACAAATACTTGCTGGGAAATTGACACTACCTTGCGCCTCCAAAATAGCCGTCCTCTAGTTTTCTTATGGAGCCTAGAACTGCTGGGTGGATGTCAGCACCATCATCAACTAAAGGAGAACAAACAAAGAATGTGGAAACTTGACGTGGTCTTCGGTTATAAGGAGCAGCTATGTGGATTATTGACTCTTCTTTACAAAGTAAATGRGACTTAGGTCAAGCCCAAAACCCAGAAGTGATATCAATACTAGTTCATTCAAAAAAAAAAACCCCAAACAAATAGCAACCCCCACTTCACTCACAACAAGTTCTGGAGTGTCTTCTATGAAATCTCTTTGAACAGTAYGGATAGGATGGGGAGATGCAAGTATATCAAGGGGGAGTAAAACCAAAAGAAAATATAACCACGTCATCCAAGTTMAGCAAAGACTTAAGAAAAGTTCATCAGCATTTCTGATGTGAAAACTCAGATGTTGAAACAGTCAAGCTGTCCGTCTCCTCTCAGCACTACTCCCATCCTACTCCTCCACAGGAATTATTTTGCTTGGAAGAGGAAAAACACAGCCWACCGAGCATTGTGTGGGTGATGGGAAACGTCAGGGTGGGCCTCCCTGTCATCCTCCAGCAAGAGGTGAGGTAGGCCAGCTCCATCTTGAGCATCTCCACAATCAGCTGGTTGTCCAGAGCCAGGTAGAAGTGATGCTGGTCTGTAAACTGGAGCACAGAGGAACATCACGTATGAGAAGAKGTGAATGAATGAATTAATGGAGGAAATGAAAGTGAAGGGAAGCACTGACAACAGCCACGCGAGAGATCCTTAACCAKGGCACCGACCGCATGGATTAACCTAACTGGGCTGCTACTATCACAAAAAGTTCCATACTTAGAGAAAGTTCTTATACCTGTAGGCTAACTATCAAAAAACAAGCCATTCCAATAAAAAGGAGATCATCTCACAGGTCAAGCACAATTTTCCCAAGAATGAATTACTGTAGCCTATGATGTGGAAGTGCTCCAGATGCAGAACAAGCAGCACACAACAAACACCTACAAGTTTAAGCACACGTGGCAGACTGGGAACAATCTGACAGACCAGCAGGACACATAAAAGCTAGCAGTTACTGTGGAAAAAGAATTGCTTTAAATGTAAAGTTGTCCACTACAAAGGCAATCTAAGAGTAACAGTAAGAGATTGTGGCAGCTCCATCTGGAGCTGGAAGCATCAAGAGCTTGACAAGCAGTGAAATAAGGTTGAATAAGCCACAGCAAAAGTTAAGGGACTGCATCATAACTGGGGAGGAGGCAGGCTGGGATGTAAAATAAATGTCAATTAGTAAGACATATAATGGGCACAAAGAAAACTCTCTGTAAACATATGAGAAGTAATATAAAAGCAAAGGAACTACAGGTCTGTTCCCAAGAAGGAAGAGAGGATATGGAACAGGTGAGGAATACCCTGGTCTCCCTTTACTGACAAACCAGGACTGTGACTGCTTTCAGGAAAGCGACAGGAGTTCAGCCTGAGGAAGGGAAGAAATGGTTAAAGAGCACCTAAAACCCAGCTGGCAAAGTCTACCGAAATTACTTCAGAGAACTTAAGGAACTAGCCAAAAGGGACTAGCCAAAATAACCCCTTGAAGCTCCTGAAACTGTTTTTGGGAACTCAGGGAGAACAGGTCCCAGAAATCTGCAGAGAAGCAAACACACTGCCAGTCTTCAAAAAAGGGAGAGCCAGGATAACACAGACCAGACAATCCAGATTCAGCGCCTGAAACCACAATAAAACGGCCAGCCGGAGAGTGCCAAGGTAATGACAGACTGATAAAGCAAGAGGGCCAAGCAGTCTTGTCAAAAWCACGCTCGGCAAAATGGTCCAAATTCTCCAATCTCCTTCTCTGGAAGCAACAGGAAGCGGCAGCCACATCTTTAGTTTTGCAAAGCTGTCGACATTTGTGAGATAAAAGAAACMTCTGGCAAAGAGGAACTACTTGAGGAAATGGTTCCCAAGAGGTAGTTATCACCAGCTAAAGGGCAGCAGCTTTTGCCCCATGCTTGGTGGATATTTTTATTTCAGATTTGGATGGGACACAGACTACAAAAATACAAATTTGGTGACGATATCAAGATCAATCCATGAGGCGAGAAGTACATTTTGTGTCTAATTTCAGGGCACTGAAGAATTTTTCCTAACTTTCCTAACTCAGGAAAGAAAGATTTAGGGTCAGGAGAGACAACACAATATAATAATCAATCTTCCACATGGGAAATTTGCTATAAAGCTGGCCATGATCAATGGAATAGGAGGGCATCAGGAGTATTTACAGAGAATTTCAATAYGTTTGGACGTTACAAAGCACTGCAGCAGGCCATCTATGGAGCCTGCTGAACCAAAGGTCACATTAATCAAACAACTGCTAGCAGTTTGTCAGCACTTCTTATCCTGCTTCAGTTCCACACATTTAGAGCCAATGATCCTGTAGCCCTCTAATGCTAAATGCTAGAATAAGGCTACGGTTAGAAGCGTGTAGCATCTCACTAAGGGTATAAAATGAGCCACTGATTTGGGGAAGATCTAACTCCTGCTTATACTGAAGAAGGCATTAAACAAAGAGAACCACCCTTTTTTCTACTGGCCCCTGCAACACGACATTGAAGAGATTGCACCCTCGTGTCTGGAAGTTTCTAGTTCTTGGCACGCTTAGGTGAAGTTAAATTTTCCCTCAAAGCAATCAGTAGACACATAAATCCAGTGACCCACTTTTGGGGAAACTATTTATTCCATTAGCTAAAGCCTTAGTTAGTGCAGAGATCAGTAACAACTTTGTACTATTGATTCACCGTGTTCTTCTGAAGCTGAATCCAAAGAAGCCAGACTCTGCATGGCAGAAGAGAGACTTATCAGCATTCCTATCATGTTGATCATCCAACTGCCCCCACMAAAAAAAGAAAACAAAGTACATCTGTGTTATCAGGCCTGTTCCATCTAAAGTAGAATGACAGAACATAACAGCAAAGCCATTCACTAATGATTAGCCATTAAGTAAATCGTGATTTCCTTGCTATTTACACGCTCACCTGAGGGGTAAAAGCAAATATTTGATTTCTTATCACATACAGCTTGGAGGTGCCCAACACTCCGATGTGCCGGTGTGGCCGCCCACTTAGCTTCATGCTCTTGTTCCGGCCTGCGAAGAAAGGAAGGCAAAACCAAAATAAATCTCACTTAAAATTTCCTGTTCTTCTCCAGATATTCAAAAGAACTGAGTCCCTCCTGTGTGGTTTTCCATAACAACTTTTTTTCCAAGATCTACTTCATTGGCATTGGCATGGCAGAATATTGAATACTGGATGGTACAAAGTGGTGTGTCTTGTAGCACACCTCAGTACCTCAATTTCTCATTTTCTGAATCAGTCAGACAGATATGCAGAGAAGGTACCATACTTCCTTTTACATTATAAAGAGCAACAACTGCAGGATCCTGAAGCCTCAGCTTCCAGGACCAAGCAGAGTAGCAGCTCTGGAAAGCCCAGCTGACACTTTGTGCAGATGAAGGTTCATTAATCCCCTAGATGGGCAACAACAAGCCATGGGTATGCACACCTGCCGTGGAAACCAAGTGAAACCAGTCACAGGTAACAACCAGCATCACTTTAAATAGCACATGGAGAATAGAGGAAATCTCAATTTGTACCAGAACTGAAAAGCTGACAAAAACAGAAGTTCAGATTCTATATGGAACCTGTCAGGAGACAAGGTATTACATACAGCATGATTATACACAACAAGATCACGTTCAAAACAGCTAGTTTTAGAGATACRCAGCATTTGAGCTTTGGAGCCAGAAGCAGAAATTCATCATTTRTGAGAAACAATCCAACGCACAGGCAGCTCAAACACCCAAGAGATATCAGACCTTCAAATAAAGCAGAAGCAGACAAGGTAGAAATATGTAAAGACTATCACACAGGGTGTCCTTACAATGTGGTGGTTGTAAGGACTTCTCCCRCTCCCAGTGGCTTTGTGTCCCCTGCCTGCAGCCCCGTCAGGAGGAGCATCATTTTCCTCATAGGATCACAGAACAGGTGAGGTTGGAAGGCACTTCTGGGCACGAACCAGATCAACCTCCCTGCTCAAAGCACGATAAATTAGAGAATGATGTTCTGTGCCCAGACAGGTTGTGAAGATAAGATAAGATAAGAGGCTCCACAACCTCTTTCAGCAACCTGTGCCAGCGCTGCAGAACCCTCGTAATAAATGTGTTTCCCTTTGGCTTAAGTGGAATTTCCCACACTTAAATTTGTGCCCTTTGCCTCTCTTCTTTGCTCTCGTTGCATCCAGGTATTTAAACACTTGACGAGGTCCAGTCCCATGCACCTGGGACTGCTCTGCTGAAATGCTGTCTCACACTCAACCTTGTGCCTACCACAAACTTTGCAGCTGCTTTAGGAAGATGCCAGGCTCACTGCTGGGTCCCTCACCTCCAGCACGGCTGGGTAGCTAGTGCTCCGCACTGCACCCCTTGCTCCCGCAGCCACGAGCTGACCTGGCTCTGGCCGACAAGCATAACACATAAGCAAAACAAGCATATGCCTGGAAAAAACACYCCACTGTGAATATTCCCAAAGAATCCACGGCTAAAAACAATAAACCAACGTGTCAAGTCATCTTACTTGCCCACWTGTGAAAGAGCCATTATAAACAATTATAAAATAAATGCAAGTTTCAACTAAGCTCTACAAGCGCCTCATTTGTTCAAAGTTCTTTGTGATAAAAACATAAATTCCTGCCCAAATGCTGCATAAGTAATTTCCCTTCTCCATTTAAAGGGCATGCTTTCTAAGACTTACATGACTGCCACATTACTTCAGACATACCAAAGTTTCTAAGGGCTTCCTGGTTTGGGGAAGCACAGTCTTTTACTCTCCCTCAATATTATCCATAAACATAAATGAAATTGCCATAGGAACCCTGAGAATGAGCAATAAATGCAGGCTGATACAGCTCCTCTTACCCCTGCTGCAAAACACTGATAGATTTACCAGTGCTGATTTACCCACCTCAGACTTATTTTGCAGTAACATCCACAATTTTGGATCATGAGTCCCTACCTAACTGAATGCATTTTTACTAGTTTGTGGCACACTGGAAACTAGTAAAATTATGTTCTATTAGACATATTATATATATTTTTTTTTCTTCTCACCAAGAGCCAATTCATTCTAGCAAGAACTATCAGAAGAGCCTGTGGCTGAAGTCTTACTAGATTTTCAAGTTAAGCAGAAACAACTAGAATTGTTAGGCATTTATGCAATCCAGTTGGCAGGCTTAGGGGGACCACAAAGTCACTGCTGAGAAATGGGAATGTGTTTAAATTAGCACTGGTGTTAGCAAATCTCCTGTGATCTAAAGGCTTCTTGGTTTACAAGACAGCTAAAGAGCTTTATTGGCTCAAATCAGCTCAGGGCTAGAAGGAACATTAGCAAGAATTTAACTGCCCAAAGATGCTCTGATAGCAGCAGGACCGCCTTCATCTGGGGTAGACTTCCCAAAGGTAGAACTGAGCAGCATGGTTGCCATTTCCAGACTCAAAACATACATATTTTGACTTCTGAAAGGAGGAACATTGTTTTGTATATTATTTTCCAGACCTTTTTTCTTTTTTTTTTTTTAATTCTTTTTTTTTCTTTTCTTTTTTTCTCTCTCTCTGATCTCATCTCTGATTTTTAGTTTTTAAGACAGTTTCTCTTTGGAAATAGTTCCTGAAGGACAAAGACAGCCCTTTTTTTGTTCAGTTCTATGACAATATAACACAAAAATATTTTGGCCACCTTTTCAAAAAGGCTGCCTCCCTTCTGCCACTGGGGCTCCTTTTTATAGGACAGAAATTATGGTTTGTTAAGGTTCTTTATGTAAATGCATGTTTTGAATCTGAGGAATTCATGTGTACACAAACGCTCCTGGAAACAAAGAAAGAAAGAAAGGAAAGAAAACGAGACAGTACAAAAGAGAGGAAAAAATAAAAACCAAGATAATCCTTGCAGAGCAGCAGAGGCAGACTTCCACGTTCAACACCTACCCAGCATGGTGTAGAGATTGCTTAGGATGCGAGCTGGCTGCACTCTGAGGGGATGGATATCAGCGACGCTCTGAACATTTATTCCATGGTTTTGCAAGAGAGTCTTAATTTCATTAGATTCTGCTAAAACAGTTACTGTATAACAGAAGACAAAAACTACTGTTAGGAACCACATTTAATCTTTTTCTTTTTCTAAAACAAACTTTCCCTATCCCTTAACTAGAAGGCGGTTGACCAAACACTCATAAAAGTCCTTGCCTGTTTCTTCCTGACTCCATGAGATCAAATGGATGTTGGCAGCTTTTGGGCTCTCTATTTCTCAACACATCTTGCCATTTCCTCCCACTTTGGATCACCGGATACCTCAATTTGGAAGGCACAACAGGAGGGCTCTACTGCAACCTCCTGCTCAAATCAGGAACTGCTCTGAGGTTAGACTAGGTTGTTTGGGGCTATATCATTTTTGTTTTTTCTAATTTCTTTTAGTACCACAAGACTAGATCATTTTCTTTCAATGTCAAATCATTAGGGTCTGCTATGGCAAAACAAGGGAGAGCCTGTCTTGAAAAACCTTTGTTGTTTTCATACAACACAGCTGAGACAATGGGCACCAGGTGCTATTATTTACAGCCACAAATATTACAAAGGCCATAAAATGGCAGAGGAAGAACAAAGCCCAGAATGTAAAGAATTTACAGTCCAAGGCCCCCCAATTCCATCTCCTGCTCTGCATGARGTTTTGCCTGTATTAGACGACTTACTGATTTGGGACTAGTTAATTCTGTACTTTTTTACATTGAAATAACAGAGAATGCTTTAAACAAGCAAGCATTTCTATTTCTGCTATAAATACTTCAGAATAACAGAATATCACTGCCATGAGACACCAGTAGGGAAAAGGAAGCAAAGGCTGGTGTACAGACTGCCAGGAGCTCTGGAAGCACCCACCTTGTTTCCCTCACCCAGGGAGAGGAGATACTGAAGAGCTGGCTGCCCAGGCTCTTCCCTGTGCAGAGACATTTCACCACTACATAATGCAACCCACCCGGAATGCTTAAACAAAAAATATCACTAACCTTGAACCACAACATCAGGTTTAAATCCAGTGGAAAACCTCCTGTTTAAGGGATCAATTTCACCTGCAGCTAGAAACCCCTAGAAAAAACAGGAAAGAGAAAARTAACAAAAAATAAATAAAAGTTTTTTCATGACATCTAGAAGAAATCTTAACTCAACTTAAAATTTCTCATTTTTAGTAGGCTAGCAACACTTACAGCTTTGTTTTTCCACCCCTTCCACTGAGTCATATATTGAGTAAAACCAGTTCTTGAAATATTTTTCAGAAGCAAAAAGAACTGAGGCAATTTGGCCAGGCCAGTGATTTTTTTCACCTCCTCTTCTTACAGCTCCACTGAGATACTTTAACAAGTATATGGTTTATACTGGAAAATGTTTGCAGGGATCTTGTCCTGCAGAATAAGGTCCAGCCCAGTGGAACTTCAATAATGCAAAGTCTATATAGTGCTATGGAACTGCCATGAAGGCTTGGGCAGCAAAACCTTTACCTTAGACTTCATTTTCTTCTAGCCTAACTACATACCTACCCCATCTGACAACCTTACAAACTAGTATCTATATCCAAAAAAGGTCCTGAAAGCTCTGAATCACTTGCTGAGTCATCTCTGTTTCTGTCAGAAGACACTGCTGTCCACTGTGTGACAACCAAATTGTCCTGGAAGGGTACAACACTGTACTTAGAGYGAACACAACCAAACCAGAGTGTAGAACAAGCTCACCTACTATGCAAGAAACACTGTTACCTCTGCTAATAGGCAGCTAAGAACATACAGTGATTGGCCCCAAAGATGAGGCAACTTTCCCACTGGCACACGATCCACGGAGCGAGGATTTTCATACTCCTCTTCCACCTGTGCAACAAAAGCACAGAGAAGAAAATTGACCCTAGAAATCCAAAGATCAATAATATTAAAGCATTTGAAAAGGTACCATCTATCACCTACCCTTTCTAACCTGCTGTTCCTACTRACACCTGAATCTCTTGCTTTTTCTTTTGTGACTGAAACACAAACAATTCTTCCTTCTGATACACTACTGCACCCTTCCAAACCGAATGTGGACTCCATGTGTAATTATACAGTGAGTAACAGCACTTTCCTTCCCTCTGGGCAGCTTGTAAGTAACTGTGTCTGCTCTCAAACTCCTTGCAAGATGGCACATTCTACTTATGTCTACCTAGCTTCCTGGAATAAAGGTGTTTTCCAAAGAAATGAAGGCTATTTCCACCCTTTCCATGTGGAAGAAGAGATCATTAATTTAKAAAGCCTGCCTCAACTCTGCAGTACACAGGGAAGTGTTAAAACCCTCCTAAATAACAAACACTTTTCACATGGGCATTTAAAAATCTGCAAAAACAGCAGGCAAAGTCTGTTTGTCTGGTACTYGTCTCAGATTATACTGGTGCCTATCAAAGCTCACCAGCAGGTTCTGCACTCCGAGGTGCCCCTACCAAGCAAGCAGGAAGGCAATTCAGAATCTCAGCCTCAGATCTGTGAATAAAATCAGCAGCTGCCAACGCTCCCTGCATAAACTCAGACCAGTTCAGGAGGTTCCACACCCTTAGGGGCTGAGCTCTGGAGCAGGAAGAGAGGCTGRCAGGAAGGAATCCAAGGCAGTTAGGATGGAAGAGCACTAGAGTGGCTGAATTAAGTCTAAGCGTTTGAGATGGACTATCTCAACGGGAACATTAGGTAAAACAGTAACAGAAAAGACTAAAAACAAACAAAAAGACTCCTCAGCCCAAAGCCCCCAATCAATATAAAACCTGTTTCTCACATTCAAGCACTAGAAAAGAAAGACTACATAAAACTGAAAGAACAAAAGAGGCCAGACAGTCTGTCTTGTTTCTTCTCAGAGACTCATTACCTAAGTCCGCATCAGCATTTTTTTAATATATACCTTGTAACAGATGAAAAAAACACTCAGGAGAAGGGAAGATTTTTGTGAAGATTTAAARTTTTAAACCCGCTCTAGTATTTCCCTAATCACTCAAATTTCAGAATCTTATCACCTGGAAGCCTCAAGTCTACCGCTTGTCAACAGGAGCTATTTACTTGTATAAGATGAGGTGCAGTAGTCTTTATTGTTGGTTTGGATTTAATAGCTACAGGGGAAAAAGTGCATACTAAAGATTTCACAATACCTTCTCTGAAGGGACTGCATACAGTTCTGGCATTAGAACTATTCCATTCTTTTCTCTAATAAGGATTCCTTCCAGAGCCTCTCTATATTCTTGCACCTGAGAGGAAAAAACATAAATAAATAAGAAGAAAGGGTAYAAGAGCACACATTGAAGCCAACAAAACAGAGGTAGCAAAGTTAATTTTTAGTACTTTCCGATAACCCTTTCAACTACTATCCGATTTCTAAAAAAAGATTTGCTGTTGGAAGGTCAGGATTCAAATTCTTAGATACTGTTTCAGCATCTCAGTATTCTCAKTCTCAGAAACTTGAGCACATGTCTTTTATCTATAACAAACTGTTGTAACACAAAACTGAGATAGAGCATCTTTATTTTTAACCTTAAAAATATGATCCATAAAGGTCACAACTATCTTGGTTCACAAGTCTCTTTCTGTGGTAAAACCTGGTGAACTTCTGTACAAGGAAGAAAGCAATTCTGACATTTTAAAAAGTGGCACTTAGAAAAAAAACTACAGTTCTTAAGTCATGAGCACATAACTCCTGGGACCGCCACACTWCCCAGCTGATTTTGAATAGATAAATAAATGAATAATTAAAAACTAAAGCTGCTGAACTGAAGATCCTTTGGTTCCTTGTTGAACAATGTATTAGGAACATCAGACTGACAAAAAAAGTAGTCAATATTCTCTATACGAGCTCAGCAAAACACCTTATATTTCTACTGTTAATAATTCTCTCATGTAGTTTGAAATGTCTATACAGGAAGACGCATTTTGGCCTGAAACTGCCTGCTTAATTAAGTCTTCATTTTATTTTTTTTAAGGGATTATATTTATCAATCTCCAGTCCTCCTGCATACCAGGGAGTTTTAGAATCATGTTATTTTTCAGTTCCTCCAGGTTCTGCAGAACTCCAGCTAYGAATTTGCTTAATCCTGGTTGACCACTCTGATCCTTGGAGAGCTGTGATTGACTTAGCTCCCCYGACCAGGGAATGCTTGGGGCAGCAAAGGTATGAAGCAACTTATGACATCAGACTTAAGATTAGCTTTGGAATTAACTTAGGAAAATAGTTACTTTATCAGCACATAGGATGGTTCCTCATAAAGGTCAACCCAGTCCCAAACCTCCCAGGGCATCTAAAGTGAGTGAAGATATTAGGAGTCTTATTCTCAGCWGCCATACCACACGGGTTAGAGGAAAAGGGAGCTGCTCCCCCTCTGCAGTGCTGGGAGAGGAGGCATCGAGGYTGGTGGTGATGGCACCAGCCCATCAAAGCCTGCTCAGGTCAGTCTGACCATACCTGCCAAGAGAGCCATGGCCAAGGGCAATGAGCTCCCAGTATGGACCACAGGGCAGCTTCTCCCACATCACGAGGTTCACAAAAAGGCCATGGTGGCTGCAGGCTACAGCCTTCCTGATGGCTGCAACCCTGGCAAATTCCAGTGAACCCCAGTGAATTCTCAGTGGCATTCACTGCCAAAGCAGTATCAATGCTGCAAAAAATTCAACTGATGGCAAAAGTTTCACATCTGCTCAGGGCAGGAACAGTGCCACAGGCTGSAGGAAAGGATCCACCTCTTTACCCTCCTGCTGGTATCTGTGGCAAGCAATTCATCTACACAAATCTGCATCTGCCTTTTACAAAAAGAGGTCTTTGTGCASAGTCAACTGACATTCAAAATAAATACAGGTCAAAGCTACAAAATACAGTGGGTAACGGCTTCACATTTTCATTCCAAGTCACTTTTCCTGTGCTCACCTGAATTTTGTCCCCATTAAATACTCCATCAATTAGAAAGTACGTCCAGAACACCGGCCACTCGCATTCAATATTCTCAAAGAGCTTGAGCTCAGCTGGGTCATAATGCAGCCTGCTCGGGTCCTAGAAATTCAATCACACCCAGTTACTCACAGTGCTAAGTTATTCTTATTCCATACACAGGGGAATTTTACATGAATAATTGTAACAAACAAACAAACAAACAMACACATAGTAAAAAATCTCCAYGCAGCAGTTTGACTTCTTAYTCACATTCAATCTCAAACTATTTTTTCCATTCTCCAGAAAAATCAGCCCTCCCCAGTTTCACAATCTAAGCATCACACAAACCATCTTAGCTCTGCCTCCATTCGAAGATATCCAAGGATGCCCCAGAGGCACCGTTTCCCGCTTAGGCACCATCAGTTTGTGTGTGGGGGATCATTCCTAACAAAACTCCAGGTTAAGCTCTGCAGTTAGTAACTGCTTTTCCAGTACTTGCTCTCCGTTAGACATGAGTCACTTCCAGTGTGGACACTTGGATTACTACCAGATACACTAAGATCTTAACAGCAGTGCAGGACTTCACTCCCTACTGTAACTGAGACAAATCAAATGCTTCCAAACTTCTCCTGAGAGCAGACAAAAGCAATACTACCTCCTTGGGTGTCTTGTAACCATCCCGGAGGAAGCGACAGCAGCCGTAACGGCCCTGTGAAAAGAGACAAGTTATTGAAACTCCTCATACAAATACAAATGTACGTTGAGTTTTCAGTGTCACTTAGGGATTTTTCTCCCTCTTTTCCATATACTGACCCACCTAACCTGGCAGCGCTTTTTCGGTGAGGATTTTCAGTCAGGACTGGGAGGTTCTGCCTTCTCTTTCCTTTAGGAAAAGAAAGGAAATTCTTACCTGCAATTTGGATATGATTTCATTCTTGGTTATATTAACAAGGTTTATATCCTCCACTGCAAAAGCYGGGTAAGAAATAATGGAGAGAAGGCCAGCATCAATCTCCTTTGACGTGGATGCTCTTGGCAACATTGAATATAGAATGGACTGAGGGAAAGAAGGAAAAAAAATCAATGTAAAACAGTTTATCTTGTTCAAATGACTGGGTCAGAGCATGTCATTTGTGGAGTGACTTGGATCTCACTGGGTAATTATTTGTAAGGGAATTAATAAAAGAATATCTCAAGCCACTCACTGTCAGAACTACTGTTATAAACAGGGTGAACAGTATAGTCTTATGTCATCTTTATGCTAAGGTTTTGGTTTAATTAGTATTTCATATATAAACAAAAAGGGAGGGACACAGGATTTTCTTTCAACAAAGGAAAGAGAAGACTAATTTTTACCTGACAATGTTCTACTTCATCAGGAAGAACATGAATCACGGATTTGTGCCCTCCATGAGCACCAAAAAGATCTAGTTCATCAATTGCTTCCAAAGCTGCCTTCAAAAACAAASAAGCAAAAACCTTTTAAACTGAGCATACATCCTAGAACCTCATCTATTTTCCTTCCAAGACAAAGCAGACAGAGAAACTTGCTCCACAGATAGTTYGATAATTTAAAAAAACATCCTTTATGGAAAAATAGCCTTAAAAAAGTGAAGTTAGTAATAATTCTCTTTCTAATTCTCTTTTTGCTGTAGTGGGATACAGGATATTCTGCTGCAGGTTCTTACAATTTAAACATAGTGCAAAGCAATGATGGGCAAAGCTTTTGCTGAGAAATCTCAGTGCTGAAAACCTTATTACTAAATGCCTCTCCAGTCCCATATTCCAAAGTCATCTTTCACTCAGTTCGTTCTTACTGCTCCTACCCAAAGGCCTGTCCAAAAAGGAAGTCATGTACAACATGACCCAGGAGCCAAGGAGATTGATTAGCAGGAATACACAGCACATTACCAGTGCTATCCCCATTGATCCTACTGCTTCAGGAGGGAAAGAGATGTCTGTCCTCTTCACTCCTAACTAACTAGCTGAGAAACACCAAGCTCCAGACCAACAGATGGATCACGTCGTCTCGCATTTCTTGGCCATAACGTGTTGGCCGAGTAAAGACATCAGCAGGTCACCCATTAACTGAGGCTGAGAACCTCTACGTTACCCTAGAAGGCTACAAACTCCCAGCTTTGCTGATGTGGGGAGCACTGCCACGCAGGGGATACGGCTGCAGGACAGCAGTGGCTGCACTGCACAGCCAGGCTGGCAGATCGTTCACCTCAARCTTGCATTCACAGGGGAGCAGTAGCACTGACCGCTGCTCCTTGTCCATTTTCATTCCACACCTTTTGCAACACAACTTTCTGACAGAGAAAGTAGAGCACTGCAAAGCTTGCCTCATCCCTCTGCAGAGAGGCAGGGGCGTTTTTCTTTCTCTGACATRAAGATTGGTTTCCTGGCAGCAACACAAGTTGGGAAACAAGCGTTAAGAAAGAGAATTCCTGAAGTAGATTAAGAAAAAAAAAAAATCCATTTTTATCTCTGCAGCCGGGTCTTCAGGGCAGGGTATGGGGGACATACTGAGAAGCACACTTCTCATTCTCAGCCTCCCTCACAGGACCTGCCCCATTGCTGCTGGACTGAATTATGGCCAAGACTAGCAGGGTTCTTCCTCTTACAGCCACATGCAGGAGCTTGGTAACTAATAAACCCTGCTGAAATGCAACTAAGCTTTTGACCTTAATTCATTGCCAATGACTTTTTTACACAGTTACATTKACTGCCTTTCAAGCTTCCTTTAATATCCCTATGACCTTTCGCTATGAGACAGAGGAGCCAGAAGAGGAACCTCTGAAAAAAAAAAGTTAAACCCTGCTGAGGYGCTTCAAAGCAGACGGTTACCACAAAGATGATAAGCTAAATACAAAGATTTTATGCTAAATGCTCATTCACACACTATTTCTGATACAATCAGTTCACTATCCTAGTGGCCAAGAAGACTTTCCCCTAAGGAAAGGCAACTGCCAAAGGTGTTGTCTCTCCTCAGCACGACAGCAGTCACTAAGGCATCCTCACTTTGGCCATGCCTACGGAGCTCGCGTTCAGCTCAGGGATGCCCTGGTTCGTCTTGTCACCACGCTCCCACATTCCATAATCCTGCAACAACAGCAAGAAAAAACGTGGAGTTACATACRGAAAACAATCCCTTCTACCTCCTCTCCCTGTGCACAGCTCAGCAACAAAACAGAACCCTGCATGAAGCTRGCTTAAGCTAAAACAAGACCACCCCCTTACCACACACACACGTGCACCAGGCTTGGGAAAGGCCTTGCTAATCTTTAAAGAGAAGTACATAGAAATGTGCACCAGGAGGATCAGATCTACAATCACAAACCATTTTCTTCACAGAACAGTACAGAACCCTTGATCCCAAATACCTCTCTCAGCAGCCTTTGAATTCATCACGTTCAAAACACACGTTTATCACCATTTTGCTTTTTTTTTTTGAAAGGTGCATGAAATTTTAGTGATACATAAAAAAATGAAAAATAAAGTTCAGACCCATGCTGCAAGTTATTAGTATGAAAGAAGAAACATCCCTCCATCCACATACCAGAAAATCCCTCCATAGCCCCCCACCATTTCCAAAGATGTTGCTCACAATATAATGCAGCAAGAGATTCTGACAACCTCTCATCATAGAAATCATCCATGTTTCTCTTCTCCACTAATAAATTATTTTCGACCCATATCAAGTGGGTATTCAGATCATTTGCAGATAAATAATTACTTACAGCAACTTTGTAGGCAGCTTCTATGTAAAATACAAGATTCTGTATGAAGGTAACTTCATCTAGGGTGAAGATGATACGCAACCCTGATTGAAAGTGGGAAAGAAATTAATTAAATAGTGCTAAGACCAAAATATTTACGCCCCAATGAGTTTCAAATTTTTAGTTTATTTGCTGGCAATTACTGTCCACTGCAATGGAAAAATTGTCTGTGATTTCAAAAGAAGAGGCAGCAAGCATCAACACCACAAGTGTTACCCATTCTTTTTTTTTTCCTTTTTTCAAAGACCAACCCTCCCCTCAAAAACCAGCCCTGTGAGGGTGACATTCAGACACAGGGGGTACACAGCAGTAAGATGTGAGCCAGCTCTGGGTCTCCRAAACAGAACAGCCCAATTCCAACAGCAACTCCCTTTCCATTTGCTTCRAAAAAAGTCAGACACGCGCCCTGCCACCCATGCACTCAAAGGTGAGGGGCTCCAAGGACAGAAAAGCAAGGAGGGAAGAAAAGCAGAGCCACATCCTCAGAGGAGGACTACAGTTGTGAAGAGCATCAAAATAAAACATTGCTGGGGAAAAAAAAGGGATATGAGTGGAAGGAAAGTATCTGACTTGGTGTAGTCACTCTCTAAGAGGACAGGACATCAGCATAGCCCGCACATTCTTCAAACACAAAACTCATCTCTGACACAGCTCTGAACACCTCAGGTATTCGTATACCAACACACATTATGGGAATAGACACTGCCAGAGTAATCATTATAAATCTGAAATCCTACCTAAGCCACATCTCTTTCCCACATAACTATGATTCCCTTCTATAGTAATAGCTATGCAAATATCTTTGAGCCTATTTAAGGCTTAAGTKTTTTTTTTTCCTTTCAAATGAAAGAAGAGTGCAAGAGGAGTCAAGGCTAAAACACCTTGTGCTTACCTGATGCAGTCATCTGTGCCAAGAAGAGCAGGTAAAGGGATGTTGCATCTACCTGTAGATGCCCCCACTGGTCATCCCCGACCACCGTGGCACAGGTAGCCGAGTTGTACTTGGCGTGCAGGCAGTCTCTGGTGCTCTGCGTGTGTTTGAACTTCTCCACCTTATCTACCTAAAGAACAGCACAGGTTTTAAGTCTGGAAATCTTGGGAGGAAACTCTTCCGTCACAAACAATTTCAGAACAGGGATTTTGCTCTTGGGAGAGAGGAAACTTGAGGTTCTAGTTTTTATTACATCACATCAGTATGATTTGACCGACCAAAGTGCTTAAGCACATGTTCACCCTTAGGCTTAGACTAAATGCACATTTAATGAGCTAAGATCAGCTGTTCATCTTGGTGAAAATCAATTTTCAAAGGCAAAAATGCAGTTTGTTCCAACCATGATCTTTAAAAGGTGCAAGTGAGATCCTTTGTTAAGGAAAACCTCAGAATTTTTACTGAATCCCTACATCATTTGGTATATCCCCTTTCYGGGGTGCCAAAAAGTCACTGTTTAAATTCCCCCTCCCACTCTCCAGAAAAACATTGGCCCCGAAGACACAACACATGCTTGTTCAAATCATAACCTATGACAAAAAAAAAAAAAAGAAGAAGAAGCTGTCACTTAGTGGCTATGTGCTTGAATTGAGAACTTTTAATCAAACTATTTATTGCTATGTTGCTCTAAATCCATGGTACTGCTCTAGGTGCCCGGAGTACTTTTCCATATGATACTGATTTGGAGAACTAAGGCTTCTCAAATCTGGGCAATCATGTTTTCCCAAAAATTCTCACTCTCTCCCTTGGTCTACCAACTGCAGCTACACCCCTGGGTTGAACCTTGTGTTAAAAGCAAYGAACGCTATTGGTTTCAGACATTACCTGTCTCATCATGCACTGCAGGAGTCCTCGCATCAGCTTCACAACGTTCTGCAGGAACAAAACAGATGGGTGACATTCCCACATGAGCTGTTCCACACATTTGAGAACAGCAGAGTTCACCCCCCACATTAATGTCCTGCAAAGGGATAAACACATGCATACACAYCCAAAATGATTTTTTCTCCCTAACTTTACAAACACATTTTCCCTTGGGCCACATGGTGCTTTCAGTGGGATGGAGAGGAGCCTGCGGCAGCTTTAAAAATGCAGTACTTGTTACCTCTCAGAATTAACCGGCATTCTGAAGGTACTCAAGATCTTGATCTGATTCTTTGATTTTCTATGGGATTATAATATACTGGTGGATTTTTATTCCCATACCCATGTCAAGTAGGACAAGAGCCATCGATAAACAGGTGAACAACCCTCTGTGATCTTTTTATCTGGCTAAGGAAGTAACATTAACACCAATGATTATTTAGAATAACAGACCTAGGGAACCCGTGGAAATTTTTCACCTCTTTTTAAAGTACCACAGCATGCAGAGGGCAACTATAAAGGACCTTTACCATATATAAAGAGAAGCATAGAATTTTGTCTTAAACTAAGAAATTAAACTCATTTCTTTATCCAAAAACTATTATGGCTGCAGAATGGGACCATGCAAACCAAGTCAGGGTTCTTCTGTCACCTCAAATTTCCGTGGGTTGAGGAATCTGCCTGAGATTTACCCAAAGCCTTCAAAACCAAGGCAAAAAACTTCAGAGCGGTGCCAGAAACTGCAGGTTTTCAGAGAACTTGCCCACCTAACACCACCCCTTCCCCACAGGTRAGGCAGCTTTAGCAGGCTGGAAAAGGATTCTCTCACTCTCCATTTAATTCATCTCCCCTTCTTCCCCCACACTTAGACTTCCAATACCCGCTTTCCTGGCTGTATAGAAACAGCACTAGTGATGACAGAATTTAATACATATCTGTGTCTGGCACCTCCCCTCCTGTTCTCTACCACGCGAGTTTAGCAACAGTGTGGGGGTTTTGTCTTCTCTGGTTATGATCAAGCACACACTTCCATAAACCACGTGTGACTTTCAAGGGACCACTCAGGTTCATGTTCCACAGACTGCTAGTAAGAAATACTGCATATTTCTTTTTTACAGGGAAGAGCAGTTTAGCAGGTAAATTGCTAGCTCAGTATTGGAACAACCTAAACTTGATTTTCTCTTCCACAAGGATATCTCAGGTGAGACCCCAAGATTTTATCAGGGCTTGTAAATCCAGGCACAAAACATCCTGGATGCTTAATTTTTACTAGTCATTCACGCATCCAATGAAATTTTGATTCCTTCAAGTTGGTTTGGGGATTTGCCTATTTTAAATCAGGTGCTGGCTTCTCTGTGGCTCATTTCTCCAGCCCTAAAATCAAAATCTTGGAAAGATTCTGATTTCTTCTTGGGAAGTTGCCGGGAGCCCCGGGCACCACCTGGCACACAGATACTAGTGTCCAAGGAGCGAACCAGATGCTTCCCAACCTGGGACACACGTATGGAAAGCCCCAACACCTCCTGGGCACGAGAGCACCGCGAGCACACCATGCACAGCTGCTACGCCATGGCAATGGATGGATGGATGGATGGAGGGATGGATGGAGGGATGGATGGAGGGATGGATGGAGATGGATGGATGGAGATGATGGATGGATGGAGATGATGGATGGATGGAGATGGATGGATGGAGATGGATGGATGGAGATGGATGGATGGAGGGGAGGCTTGCGTGGAGCTCTGCCGTACCTGCTCAAGCTCATAGGCTTTGGCCTTATCCTCGTCGCGGTCGGCGTTCTTCCGGTAGGCCATGCCCAGGCCCCACACGGCCAGGATGCTGTAGATGTTGTCCCGCACCCAGGCATCCTTGTGGTGGGTGCTGGCCGAGAGCAGCCCCGTGACGGGGTTCTAGCCAAAGAAAGGCGAGAGGAGCGCGCGGTTACTGCCCGGGGCGGCGCTTCCCGCGCCCCCGTGGCTGGTAATAGATCCCAAAGAAGAGAGAGCCTCCAAGAAAGTCATCTCCCACCGGCTGTGCGTGAGCTGGTAACGGGCGTCAAGCCAGAGTTTCGGTTTCCCAAAATCCTGAAAATCAAAACTGCTTTTAACGCATCAGGCTCTGAGGTTTTCTGAAGATCCTTTTCCATTTAGGACCATTAGCTAAGTTACTGAGGAGAACCTGAACAAATTTAAATTTCATGTCTAAAGAAAGCAGAGGGTTGAGTTGAAGCTACAAACTCGCCAAGCCTGCGATCTATTCTTGTCTGTGTAACTGGTCTCTGGCATAACCTCAAGGAAGCAAAAAGCAGCACTACCTCCCTTCTGGGAAAGGTGAAAARGTATTTGTGTTGATACATCCTACTCGGCTTATGCATTTTGCATGAAGGTCTTCTTACACTCTCTGCTATAAAACATATAGAAACACAAATCCTAGTGATGTTTATATGCTGTCTGGAAATCAGAACACTAAGCAGTCTCCCGCAACGCAAATACTCCATTACTCTTAAATTTTTCATTTCATTATTAATTCTCCTCAACTCATCACCATTCATTTTAAAAGCATCTTTCTTAGCTATATATTTTTCATGCACAGGGAGAAAAAAAGAAGTAAAGAGACTAAAGGCCAATAGAGCTTTCAGTCAAATCTAGCCTTTACAGCCAACTCCAGTGGCTGAGAGACCAAAYTTCAGTGGAGTGAGCAAACAGCAGYGGCCAAAGCTGGTGTGACAAGGTGCAAAGATCCCAATAATAAAAAGGGGATACAATTTAGAAAAACACATTTGCAGTCATTCATTTCTGCCACGTGTTCCATTTCTTCTGTAGTTATTTATATGAAAGTTTTGAGGAGGAAGAGATTTCAACCAAAAATCCCAAGGCTTCGCACAGGACATCTGAACAGTGGCTCTGGTGACAGACTGACAGAGATACCCAGACTGTCTGGGTATAGTCAGTACTAGTATTATTGGTAAGATACAGGAATATCCAATGTCCTGTTAAGTGGAGGAGCTTACATGGCTACTGAAAAACAGTCCCAGAGCACAGGGCTCACAAATCAAATACACTATCCTCATCCTGAGAGAGAGACTGCTATCCTGTGACCTGCTTTCCACACTAAAGGTAATTTATTTCCTTCCCTTYGCTCCCTGCCACTGTTTCCCCCCGCCAAAATCTCTTCCCTGCATGGAGCATTTAATGGAAATGAAGGCACTGAGTCATGAGCACACAAGTACAGCAAGTGGCAATTACAAAATCACGGGTCACTGGTACAAGTRCACATGCTGCTATTAAATTGCTCTTTTTGTCAGTGTTTAATATTAATGTCATTAACATACAGCTGTTATGAAGCCCGTTTCATCCCTGGACGCCAGAGGCCCCATCTCTCCTCTGATGGATGCCACCCCCAGCGCCCGCATCCTGGAAACCGGGAAGCCCGAGTAACTTGGGCAAGGTCATCCCGCAGGCAGGAGCGCAGCCCGCGGCATCTCCCACATCCCCACACAGCGCGAGCACGAAACACAGCACCTCCCACCGCTGCCGTGTCCTTGCACGTGCTCCTAATGGGTTTGCAATAACTCACACAGAAATTCAGTCCACAAACACGCCGAGTTTGTGCCCACCACAGCCACGGACAAAGTTCTTTTTGACCAAAGCAGATGGAGTCCTAACCTTTTCTTTCACGTCTTTGCAGTTTCTAGTTTCCTGTAACTCTCAACAATAAGTGTATTTGGGAACTGATTCATGCAGAAAAAAAATAAAAATAAATAAAAACACCACAAACTTGCCCTCATCTTTCTCTGTTGAACTATTACCGTCCTCCAAGCGCACCCAGGTGCAGCAGGCACGCAAGGCAGTGAGCACTGGGCTGCACGCTTACGCCTGTGCACTGCCAAAACATTCAGTGGGTCACATTTTTGGCCTGCCRGTCCCGACATCTGCATTTTTTTTCCTGTTTACATGCCCACGCAGCACTGCTGGACAAGCAGCCGGAGCACAGAAAGCCCCATGCCAAGACAGCTCGCTCCATCAGATCAGCGCTGCAGTCAGCGAGGTGACACCGGCGCGGCGGGCACGGGCCGTGCGGCGCAGCGCACACGCACGGGACAAGCCGTGCCCGCCGCTCACCAGAGCCCGGCTCTATTTTAGGTTCAGTCCTGCCGAGAGGCGACGTTCACAGACACATTTCTCGGGCATCGCTCCGCACCTCTGTGCTGCTGGGGCTTAGCACTGACACAGGGATGTGCAGTGTGCGTACGTGTGAGCGCACGTGGTTTTCACATCGTAAAAACCTGTAAAAAACCTGACCACGAAAGACAGCATTTTACAAACACCATGACGACTTCCGTGCTCAGGCTTGCTCCGCTTCCACGTGCCTTTCTGCACATCCTTATGTAACCTGATAGTACCGGGCATCCCTGAGGAGCTTGTGCTGCTCGGGTTTACCAGCTGCCTGACAGAGGAGTCGGGCGCTTCCCACTGCTTCCTCGTGCTCCGTGCGGCCAAGCAGCACTCACGGATACACCGGGAGGTGCAGAATGGGTGACAGCCGCACTGGGGGTGCAGAACGGGTGACGGCTACACCAGGGGTGCAGAACCGCTCACGGCTACACCGGGAGCGCAGAGCGGGTGACGGCTACACCAGCGGTGCAGAACGGGTGACGGCTACACCGGGAGCGCAGAACCGTGCAGGGCAACACTGGGGGTGCAGGAAGAGGCCGCGAGCTCCTCCGCAGCAAAACCCCTTCCCTGCCCCTGCGCTGCGCTCCGTGAGCTCGATCGGTACCACAGGTTTCCCGCCAGCGCCCCACTGCAGATGCCCCTCGTGGGGCACGTGTCAGCGCCACTGCGAGCCCTGCCGGCTCCCCACGTCTCCCCACAGGCACGCAGCCCCCACAGACCCTCGGGACCCCACATGAGGCCCCCTGCTTCTCACCCCCCCAGACACACAGCTCCCCACAGCTTCCTATGGGCACCACACAGCCCCCCAAAACACGCCCAGCTCCCCGCAATCGCACCGCTCCTCACAGCGACCCCCAGCTCCCCAGAGACCCCCGTGTCCCCACAGTGACCCCCACAGCCTCCCCAGGGACCCCCAGCTCCCCTGGGCCTCCCCACAGCGCGCCCGTCCCCGCGCTCGCCCCGCGCCGCGGGCCGGGCCGCTGCCGCCCGCACCTGGTGCCGCAGGATGGTTCTCTGCAC